AGGAACTCAATGTTTAAAGTAATTAAGGATGACGAATGGACACATTAAAAGAGCGCAATATTTCTTTCCTGCCTTATTAATCTACGTAACGCACATTAATCTATGTAACATGCATAAATCTATGTAACACGTATTAATCTATGTAACAAGCATTATTCTATGTAACAAGCATTATTCTATGTAACACGTACTATTCTATGTGACAAGCATTATTCTATGTAACACGTATTATTCTATGTAACAAGCATTAATCTATGTAACACGTATTATTCTATGTAACACGTATTATTCTATGTGACAAGCATTATTCTATGTAACACGTATTATTCTATGTAACAAGCATTATTCTAAACATGCATTCTATGTGTAACATGTAACGTACTATTCTATGTGACAAGCATTATTCTATGTAACACGTATTATTCTATGTAACAAGCATTATTCTATGTAACACGTATTATTCTATGTAACAAGTATTATTCTATGTAACACGTATTATTCTATGTAACACGTATTATTCTATGTAACACGCATTATTCTATGTAACACGTATTATTCTATGTAACACGTATTATTCTATGTAACAAGCATTAATCTATGTAACACGTATCATTCTATGTAACACGTACTATTCTATGTAACAAGCATTATTCTATGTAACACGTATTATTCTATGTGACAAGCATTATTCTATGTAACACGTATTGTTCTATGTGACAAGCATTATTCTATGTAACACGTATTATTCTATGTAACAAGCATTATTCTATGTAACACGTATTATTCTATGTAACAAGCATTATTCTATGTAACACGTATTATTCTATGTAACAAGCATTATTCTATGTAACAAGCACTATTCTATGTAACACGTATTATTCTATGCAACAAGCATTATTCTATGTAACAAGCAATGATTACCTGACCGTTATACTGCCTGCATTCAGGGATCCCTAATCAGAGTATTCTGACCTTGTTGGCAGGTATCACGTGCTTCGCTCTCTCACTTGTTCACTAAATGAGGTACTTCCATAACATGTTATGGAATACAGGCGGAAAAGTAAATTGTTTGGGAGATTTCAGTTTCAGTTCTTACACGCAACAGTCAACTATAACGTGTTTCCCATTACAGTTTTGAAGTTACTGATGTGTATCTCCTTGTAGTTTGGTTTCATCCTGCTTTGTGAGGTGGAGGTTAGGTTAGTTCTCAAACTGAAGGAAAGAATAGACATGCGTTTACTTGTTACATAACGAGTACAGTGTATTAACTGCTTTATGAATTCTCTATCTAAGCAGTCGTTGGTAACTTCAGTAGGACAAACTGATAAATTCCTTGGCAATGAAGTAGAGATACAAGTTATACAGTACAACCAGAAATTATTGAGAATTTAAGATTGTAATTCTTTTATTTTTTTCACTCATTACTCACGTATTAAATGTGAATATTAGCAGAACATAACTCCAGATTCAAAGACAGGTGAACAGTTAGTATTTTGTCAAGTCACCACGGGCAGCAATGCAGGCTTCAATGCGGCGGGGCATACTACTTAGAAAGTCGTGGTCCATGCTGTCCCAATATCGGACCACCTCTTCTTTCATTTCAGCAATATTTGTCAGATTTGTCTTATTGACACTTTCCTTCATAGTCCCCAAACATTTTCTATTGGATTTAGGTCAGGGCTATAGCTTGGCCAATCTAATAATGTCATATTTTGGGTCCGAAACCAGGCCTGTGAATGCTGTGAACGATGTTGTGGGTCGTTGTCCTGCTGGAAAATCCAAAACTTTCCATAGAACACGTGAGCAGATGGAAGTAAATGTCCCTCGAGAATATCTGTGTACCGCTCACTGTTCATATTCCCTTCAAATACACAGAGGGGCGTTGCCCCTAACACAGATATGCCACCCCACACGTTAAATTTCGGACTGTACTTTGGGCGCTGATACAAAGGTTTTTCAGTTTGTTTGGTCCAGAATTTCAGTGTATTAGGAAACAGCCACACAGAACTTTCATCTGAGAAAATCACATTGTCCCAGTTAAAATGTCTATACTGTAAGCACCAGTTCAACCTTCGCTCCTTTTTTCAGGTTTCCTGATCAGTGATGGAATTCCTCGACTTTTCTGCCAACCCATTGCATGCAGCTCAGTTCTAATTGTCTCCTTACAGACAGCCACAGTTGCTCTATCAATCATATCCAGCCTTAAGTTTTCTAAACTCCTTCGTTTGTTTTAGAAACAAGAATACCAAGCCGCCTCCTGTCACCGACAGTCAATTTTCTGGGCCTACCTGCGCCTCCCTGGTGCTCAATGTCATATCCATTTGCAATATTTTTCAAAACACGATAAACAGTGTCAAAGGGATGCCTGTTCTACTTGAAATCACTTTATCTGATCTAATGTCCTTGTTATAATACTCTAAAATCAACTTCCTCTTCTCTAAATCATCCATACTGAGGATCACTGAAAATGTCGTCTGCTAGCAAGTAAACAAAGTGGGATAACTCTTCACAAACTAATGAAAAAGGATTAACGGAGTTGTCTCTCTTGAATGAAACCAAGCACTTGATAGCTCGTCAAGGTTGTTTATACTAGAAATCCAATTAAACATATTCCTAAAATTCTCCATAATTTCTGGTCATACTATACATGTATATAGTTCGGTTATGAGCCAGTAGCTACGGAAGCGCTGAAGGGACCTCATGAAATATAATTTATCTTGAGCGCACAAGTTAGTATATTGAGCGCACAAGTTAGTATCTTGAGCGCACAAGTTAATATCTTGAGCGCACAAGTTAGTTATCTTGAGCGCACAAGTTAATATATTGAGCGCACAAGTTAGTATCTTGAGCGCACACGTTAGTATGTTGAGCGCTCAACTTAGTATATATTGAGATACACTGCTTCATAAGCAGTTCATGTGGAAGCAAGGAGGAGCGGAAACGCGAGCTGATTCATGCTTATTTCTGTCTTGGGTTCCAATACAAACACATAACACATCTTCTTGTCAAAAATCATGGTATAGTATAGTACGCCACTCGAAGCCTATTCTGAGGTGTATGTCCCTCTTTCGCACCAGATACCAGATTTGCTGATGTTACAGTGAGTGAGTGAGTACGGTTTACACCGCTTTTAGCAATATTCCAACAATATCACGGTGGGGAACACGAGAAATGGGCTGCACACATTGTACCCATGTGGGGAATCAAACCCAGGCGTGACGAGCGGACGCTTTAACCACGAGGCTACCCCACCAACCCGCTGATGTTACATACTTTATTGCGGACAACTTCGACCATCTGAACAAAGCCATGGTTATCGTTGATACATCAAAAATGTATCCAATGCGGTTTAATCGTGAAACAGGATACTGTACGGTCGTTGTTGGACCAGATGGTGTTGAATTTCGCTCAGGACACTGTCTTCATCGACGTGTTTATTCTTCAACTTCCTGTGTTGTTAAAACATGTTAAATAAACTACAACACACATACGTATACATAAGGGATTGAAACGGGGAACACGGTATTTTAGTAAGAAATAAAGTCGGAATATATGCTATACGTCATATTTATATGATATTGTACAAACTGTACATATTGTTAAACTGCCATTGTACCCACGTTAGGAAACATTACTGATACAGGCAAACCAAGACTATAGACTATAGTTCCCTGAAAGCGGTCGACTATACTTCCAATACATCGGACATCAGTTTTATAATTAAGATAATTAAGTATAACACTCAATGTTTACATATTTCATGGTCATGTAATACTATATATACATAATAAAGCCGTAGCACAAAACAAGTTATCCAAGCTTTACGCTAGTGTTCATAATACTATGTACCAATAGAAGAATTAAGTAAAACCACTATTCATCCCTGCAATAAACTCCTACTCATGTTTATGTTTTAATTCTTATTATGACATTACACATACCTGAGCCTGCTTTATGTAATAAAGCAAAAAGTGGTAAATCAGACACAAAGAATAGTATTGACAAGCAAAAAGACGATGAACGTTTACATGTTCATGATACAATTGCATACTGATACATAGTCTCATCATAAACACCTATAGTTAACTCCGACTTTGCATCGTTTGAAATCTTCCAAAAAGGATATAAGTTTGTACATTTTAGCCAGCATCAAGCAAATGTGCGTTCCATTAATGCCATTAGATGCTAAACACGAAGTTGAGCGCTCAAGATATTAACATGTGCGCTCAAGATATTAACTTGTGCTCAAGATACTAACTTGTGCGCTCAAGATACTAACTTGTTCAAGATATTAACTTGCGCTCAAGATATTAACTTGTGCGCTCAAGATACTAACTTGTGCGCTCAAGATAACTTGTGCGCTCAAGATATTAACTAACATGTGCGCTCAAGATAAGTAACTTGTGCGCTCAAGATATTAACTTGTCAAGATACTAACTTGTGCTCAAGATAATTTTAAAACACATAAAGATTAACTTGTGCGCTCATACTAACTTGTGCGCTCAAGATACTAACTTGTTGTGCTCAAGATATTAACTTGTGCGCTCAAGATACAAGATAACTAACTTGAGCGCTCAAGATATTAACTTGTGCGCTCAAGATAATTTTTAAACACATAAAATTAACTTCGATTCGGAGACAAAATATGTGAACGTCTCTGCGGACTTATAAAGGCCACACAGGAAAGATTGTGAAATGTTAGTCTGTCTCACAGTCCCTGAACCGCATTATTTTCACATCCAAACAGCCCTTTCTGTAATGTTAAAGCCTCAAATGAAGCAAGTCTAGATTTCCTCAGGTTCTGAATCTCACAACTCACTATGGCAACTTTTCAATTTGAATTATTTGTTTCTGTCAAACTAATGTATTCAGAGACTAAGCGTTAGTCTACATGTCCGCAACTCTTCTATGCGCATGAACGACTTCGTTTGACGAGAGGAGCGTGACGTAATTGTTTACAACAGCGTCATAACGTTATGACGTCACAGTGCAGTGTCGGCATCACTACCCCTCATAACAACTATGGCTTCCTCATCGAGCAGTCACGAAAGCGTTAGCACCTTTGCAACAGATGAAAGGTAATGTAGATTTTAATAATCCTTCGTTTGTTTTCTTGTCAGAACATAACTGATGATCTCATTTCAAATGTACTACTAATGAAAGAAAAATTGGAAGAATCCAGTTATATTTTTGTCCCTGTGGCACCATATATACTGGGACTCTCTATTATCGCGGGCTCTCTATTATCGCGGCACGCAAAAACATCGGGAAAGCAGAAACACCAAGACCCGCATCGGCTGTTTACATATGCAAATTACGTAAAATATATTCATCGCTCTTGAAAAAGTCATTTATTTCATTGGAATGTTATGTGTAATCGGAGAAATATTAAAGTATTCATCTTTTCAATAAGTTCTAGAACATTTTGAAACTAGTATGACCCCTACTGCCCTTACATCTAGCATGAATCAAAACTTACTTCATCAAAAGCAATCCTGCGACAACTATAAGGTCATTTGCATATTTTCCGTGCTAAAAATATAACAGGAAGTGACGTATTATGCAACTTCACTCTGCACACGGCAGCAACTTGTTATGGTACGTTTTAAGCCGGAAAAACAATATTTTGTAACGTTATTGTTACCTTGTATCCAAATGAATAGAAGTTTCTGATGTTTGGGTTAAAAGCATGATGATATTACTAATGTGAATGAAATTCCTAAATATTTTTTAATGATCAAACTATTTAGATTCGTTACTTGTCTTAGTAAACGTTTCACAGTGTCATCTGCTTGTACCGCGTGCCATAGTAAGAAAGTAGCAATACCGCGATAATAGAGAGTTGCTTCAATTTCTTGGTCAAACGAGACAATCGGAATTGCCGCAATGGTATTAAACGAGTTGCGAACATGTGTCACATTATTTGTGACAGAAATGAAGATTAAAGATCAGTCAACTGAAAATATAAATGCTAAATGTCAGTAGCCGTTCATAACCCCGATGGCGACAACATTAACTACCACGATAATAGAAGGTCCCATGATACATGCAAAAGTGTTTAGTTAGTAAACAAAGAGTCACAATGAATGGAGGAGATTGTCTAGCTGTGGCGAAGAGTTTCAAAAAAGAGATAATATACATGCTAAACAATATCACAGCTGTGATGACATTCTCATTGCAACAATGACATCTTTTGCCAACTATTTACAAGTTTTAAAAAATTGCTGGAGAGAATTGGTAATTCCATGAATCATGATAGCCAGTTGAATTACTGAATTCGCGCGTGTACGCGTATCAATAAGGAAGCTGGGTTTGGCAGTATATTGTTACGGAAACCGCCAAAGTAGGGACGCAAATACTGCCGTTTGACTCTTATTTCGCATTGTGGTCGACAGGTCTGTGAAGTTATTCATGAAAATTAACTACGTTTTTGCTTTTATGAAGGTATTAACATAAAAAGCATTTTGTAAAAATAAGTTTCTGGGTAAAAAACGTAACTATTCGGATATATTCTCTATGTGAAATGAATGTGTAGTCCATGATTGCTAAAGGCAATCTGCTGTTTTTGTTCTCGATATACTCTGTCTCCCAGGTCCAAGAAAATAAACCAAATAGTTCTCCTCAAGACAAGACTAATTTGTCAAGATTGCCTCAATTCTTGATACTGAAATTAAGGTTCATTTGGATTATTTAAAAAGATTTTAAGGGAATAAGATAAGTATATTTCTTGGACTAAATATAAGTCTATCCTCGATAGAGTGCGTGAGTGCAGCTGACAGACCGACTGACATCTCATCTGTCTAGCTTGTTTGTACGACCTTATTTTAGATGAATTAACCATCCCAAAACACTCGAGTGTGGTAACCTATTTATCATACAATGTCATTTTTGCTTTATAATTTTAAAAAATGCGATTTCAAATGCCACAAATGGATGAATGTCTATGACGTCACAAATATGTGCGGAGTAATACGTTACGTCACAAGCCCGGTGACATAATTTTCTCCTGATCACTCAGCGCTCATCTAGTTCCCAGTAAACTTTTATGCTAAAGAACGTATTGTTGTCAACAAATCTAAGTAAAACCAAACTCACGTGGAACTTCAGAAACCTTCAATTAACCTTTTGAACAACCAAATACGCTTTAATGTTAGCGTGACACTGTGCATCGTTCTCTCGCTAACACTGACAGTCGGTCGGGGAACTGATGTTGGTATATTCGTAAGCCTATGAATTTCTATCTTCGCTTTGTAATCTACTCCATCTATCAAAACCAGGCATGAATTTTCTGGGATCAAAGCACTGACAGTACCGTAACCACGGCCGTCAATCCGGACACGACCGCCGACCCTTGACGCCATGTTATTTAACACTGTGAAAGTAGTCACTGAAATTTGCATATGACCTCTCTAATTTGCATCGATATCCGTATATGACCCCAACGGATACCTAAAATATCCGTTGGCTTTATCCTGCCGAGAACACTATCCATTGTATGATAAATATAGATATGTTTTGTAATATGTTATCAGTAAGACCAAGGAGTGGTTGAATAATGATTCGGAAATCGGCGCTCCGTTGTTCAAGACCATATCAACGCTACGACGGTCCCATGTTAACCCCCTTGAAGCCTATTTTGAAAGGTCATTTGAGCACTTGAGCTTTGTGTAAAATAATAGTGGCTGGTATCAAGAAACAGGAAATCTCCCCCCAGAATTCGAAACTGTGAAGTGTATTTGTGTGAGTGGGATATTTTGATTTTTATTGGGCTTCAAAGTAAAGGTTGAAGGGGAAGGACATATATGTCCCTGTGGCACCCAGGGGGTTAAAGCATGGTACCGCAGTTAGGATCACTTTACTTGTAGCTTTGTGCAGCGGGGCCCAGGAATTAGAGTAAGGCTTAGCATGAACGTTACACTTTACCTGAGTTTCCTCCACTCTCTCTACGTCACGTACGTCTTGTTCCAGCGACTACGAAGACTACGTGTACGACCGGAGTCGGGCCCGTACACGTAAAGAGGACTCGTGGAGGAGGCGGTACCGGAGGAGAATGAGAGAACAGGGCTTCAGTAGTCCCGAGTCGGTGGAGAGAAGGTATGGTATCGTCACACCACTTACAGCAACTTAAGGAGCAGCCGAGATAATTTGACGTAAAAGCAAAACCTTCCGTGATTACGTCTACGTAGCCGCAGTTATTACCCACGAGGTCAACGTATGGGTATAAGCTGGGCCCCGTCTCGCATATAATGTTATGTCATGTTCCATTGGTTGCTATTTTTAGACGGCCGCGCTGTCCTTCATCGGAAGACGTCCAAAACATATTTTGTATCGTTTTCAAAAATCGGTCATGCAGGCGCTTGAAAGATCTTTGGAAATATAAATTGTTCTTATTTTCTGGAAACTTCTTTTTCAAAATTCTTACTTTCTGTTATTGTACATATTTGATATCAATATTCACGAAAAATAATAGTAAACCAAAGACGTATCCTTGAGTAAACGTAAATATTCGTTTTATTTGCGTGAAAGGATCGTCGCTTTTCAAATACATACCCTAATTCCCTATGCGACAAAGATTTTTATTATATGCTTGTCAGAAAACTGTGAGCGAATAAAATCATCACTGATGTATGAACGACACAAATATGCAGGTAATTTATACATGTGGACATCGGTCGAGCCACGCATACAAATTAAATCTCGTATTGCAAATATTCTAAACTTTCCTCGCGGATGACGTTAGAAAGGTATGTGTGTCTTAGAGTGGGTAGGTGTGCAAACACTGGCACAAAATCAGTAGTAAGGCGGAAAATGAATTTATAATATTTTGTGGCGATATATAAGTATTGAATTATTCACTTAGAAAATGCTGAATGTGTCCTGGAGACACTTTAGTACAGCAACAAGAAAACTTTTGATGTGATGCATCAACACCTCGGCAAACTCTTTGTTCATCAATTTTCACCAAATATTAAATCAACATGGGTAGGCTTTTTAAGCAATATGGTCTTGTCATCAATACAAAGTGGTTATATGAAATTGAGCAATATAGATAAGGTGTGAAAACGAAGGCGGAGCAAACTCTACTTGTTTAAAATGTAAACAAATCATCACAATTCAGATCTTACACTGCGTAGTTTATAGATTTATGAACGTTTGATAATTAGTTGGTTTGAACATACTTGTAATAGGAAATTGACAATGTTAGTGTTGTATGCACAATCTCGTACCTTTAGACAAGTGTCAGCAGATCTAAATGTATTCTACATCTGAACATAAAGTTATAGTTGGAGGACCGTAGATCCAATGCAACGTTCACTTTTCAGATCCTATGAAACTGCGTCACAAAATACTTCCGCATCCAGTGGTATTATTTTCAGTAATTTCATTACATTTGAAGATATGGCTAGTACTCTATTAATAATGATGCAAAATTAGTCAAAATACATCTACACTAACAGGAGAATATGGGAATCTAAGAACTAAATTATATATCAGATAGGGCCATCCAAATCGCTATTACGTGCTTTCTCATGTAGTACTTTGTCATATTTTCTTATGAATTGTGCAACTATCAAAACATATCCGGTCACATTGTGGAACTTGTACTAGCATAGTTTGGTTCATGGTGAACAAACCATAACGATAATATAGCGTCCATATCCACAACAAATTCTCTCCAAGTATTCTGAGTTACATTGACCTAGTGTTAAGCATGTGGGAGTTATGACCCCTTATCTTTATACGTGTATGGCCTCTCTGTCGTCGTTTGACGTCATAGAACAAAATCCTTTTTCGACATTTATTGCGAGTTATTTTTGAGATTGAGCGTATAACGTTATGCATAAGCACACACATCCAATTCATATATACTTATGTCGTTCAGATATCAGGCTGTATTTTCTTCGCTCACACTTTCGGTAACGATGCCAAATAAAAAAAATTCGTAGCACACTGCTTTCATCAATACACAATCAAAAGCGGAGATGGTGCACCTTTAGAATACAGCACCACAACTTTTCGTGAGGACGATCTCTGCCGTAGGTCACATGTCATTAAGACAAGCAACTAGTTTGTGAGAACCCGTCGGACGCGAACCCGCGACCTTCGGATTGTTAGCTCGACAGCTAACCGACTGAGCTACGTCCACACTGTTGCACACTGTGCAAATTTATCGAGTCATTCCTGTGATGTCACGGAAATGAACGGAAAGAGTCGAATAGGTCACGGACAATTACGAATGCTACGGGTAGACTTGGTGTCGTGCGATTATATTCTACGGACAGTTGCCGACTGGATCCGATGCCATTTGGCACACTCGTCCCATTCCGTAATATTCAAATTAACGTGTGGCGTGGAATGAGCCGATATGCCTCAAACGGAAAAGGGTTGTTGACGTCAGGCGTCAGACGTAGATTTCACAGTGTATGCATGAATGACGCGCTTTTATATAAATCTGTGATTTTGTGACAGAAAAGTGATGTAGGGAACACTGTAAGGATAATGTGGATCGCAAAAAGGAACGAGGGAGACATGAGCATGTGTAGTGACGGCACGAGGGTGAGTTAGCCTTCGAATCATTACTTTACAAAATTTATGTTGCGTGTGAAAGAGGCTACAGTGCAAATTCCAGGCCAATTTCCATTAGCCCAAAATTTCTACATTAACCCATTTCATAATATACTTTCGACGTTTTTGGTTTCCCGTTTTTGTGTGAAAAAAAAGTATTAAAATGCAAAAAGGAAAAACATCAAATGGTACTCACGTATTACACCGGACATGTACCTACTATATTGGATTAGGTCCCTAACCCTAACCCTAAACCCTAAACCCTCAGCCCTAACCCTAACCCTAACCCCTTGAAATAATCCTAATAAATAGAATGCATTGACCGAACCACCGGACATGTACCTACTATATTGCATTAGGTCCCCAACCCTAACCCTAACCCTAACCCTAACCCTAGCCCTAGCCCTAGCCCTAGCCCTAGCCCCAGCCCTAGCCCTAGCCCTAGCCCTAACCCTAACCCTAACCCTAACCCCTTGAATTAATCCTAATAAATAGAATGCATTGACAGAACCGGCACAAACACGACTGGCGTGTCTAGTGTAATGCATTATTACCGCTTCGAAATAAAAAATACTAATAAAACACTTTTCTATGTAAGGGTGCAACTTACTGAATGACAAAAATATATATGTAAATTTAAAAAATGAGAAAAAAACAAAATACACAACACTTAACACCCCAGCAGCCCGTAATACAAATAAATATGAGCGGATTAGTGAAAAAAGAAAATATTTCAAACTGGTGCTTGCACCACGTATGGGTAGTTGCATACTAATCTCGTACGTCACACGAGCGTCGTATTGCGTTGACCTGTGTCGTAACGACTTGACCTGAGATTCTAACGATTTGATTGGATAACCGATGACCTCTCAACTAGGTCACATTCTGACGTAACAATTTCTTCATTCATAACAAACACGTGAATTCATTCATTCTACAACTTAAATGCATTGTGGGAATGTAAACATCGCGAACGTTGCCGTGTCGCTGTTTAACTGTGAGTCGAACTGAGACATTATATCCGTCGAAAAACATAAACGCAATGTTTCCACCAGTGATGTTAGCCGAATGAAGCAACTGCAAACCAAGAAACGGGGTGCTACGGAGTAGTTTATTGTAGCAGGCTGTACGAGGCGATGACAACTGACATGCATCGTGATGTCGGTTACCAAGGCAGTGACGTCATTACAGTGTGACGTCATGCAAATATTGTACTACCGTACAAAACTCTTCCGCAACCTCTTTATGAAACCGGTTTCGGTTTGAAACCAAAAACATAACAAAATTACGCTATTTTGTCAATTTACTGCATGTAAGACGAAAATACCACACTCGGTCTCATTACATACGAATTATACGAAACGAGTGTCCTTCCTGTGGTATCTGACCTTTCGCTCTATCAGATACCACAGGAAGGACACTCGTTTCGTATAATTCGTATGTAATGAGACCCAGTGTAGTATTCTCTATGTACGCAGTGATCAGCCAAGCTTATTTGTTTCCCTTGTTGACAAGAGATGAGGGAATATGGGTCCACAGGGGAGTGTCTGTTGTATATCCCCCTCTCGGCATCAAGGGGGATATGGAGCAATCGAAACTGTGTCCAACCTTGTAGTCAGCTTGGTATATTGAGAAAAGATCATCGGGGCTGACTTTCGCAAAGGGGGGAAATCATCGGAGAAAGTTCTCCTTTTTGTACGCTCAGTCATTTAAAGTAATACCATTCATTCTTCCCCCATGTAAAGTGTGAAGAAGTACAGCCCAGTTTTGCACTGTACTATTATAGTAAACTCCCTAGATGTCGCGATTTCCTATTGTGTCAAAAATGGCGACATTTGCGATGAAGCCTATTTTGAAATGTTATTTTAAGCACTTTACCTTTGTCTAAGATAATAGTGGATGGTATCAAGAAACAAAAAATTTCCCGCAGAATTCGAAACTGTGAAGTATATTTGTGTGCGTAATATCTTTAGAATATTATTGGACTTCTAAGTGAGGGTTGAAGAGGAAGGACATAGTTATATGTGGGTATATGTCCCTGTGGCACCCAGGGGGTTAAAGCGCGAAGACAAACCAAGAAACGGGAGGGGCTGTTACGGAGTTAGTTGTACCGTGGGAGAGTGTACTAGGCAATGACAGTGAGTGAGTTCAGTTTTACGCCGCACTCGGCAATATTCCAGCTATATGGCGGTGGTCTGTAAATAATCGAGTCTGGACCAGACAATCCAGTGATGAGCATCGATCTGCGCAATTGGGAACCGATGACATGGGTCAACCAAGTCAGCGAGCCTGACCACCCGATCCCGTTAATCGCCTCTTACGACAAGCATAGTCGCCTTTTGTGGCAAGCATGGGTTGCTGAAGACCTATTCTACCCCGGATCTTCACGGGCCCTAGGCAATGACAACTGACATGCATCGTGACGTCAGTTACCGAGGGTACGTTTGATTGCGAGGGAACAGGCGAGAATGGCGACGTAATGCAAAAAGTGTACTGTATCGCCGAGTTGATCTTTTAGCGAATTATCTTTAGATACTCATTTACAGACTGAGGACTGTTGAAGTTTTAACTCTTCAGGCGAAGCTGTCTTCAAGTCGCGATAGGTCGGTTTCAGCAAGTGGAAGGAAACTTATCGTTAATTAAAGAGCGGGGTGTTTCCCAATGTAGGAATGGATGGTCGTGACAGCATTTAAAATTTTCAAAATCGAAATTAACTTAACAGTTTCCTTCCGTGATTTGAGACTTACACAGCCACTGTTCTAAGGGGCCTCAACAAATCCACTCTCGCAAGTATAGGTAAAATGAGCTAAAATAGGAGAGTAACAGTAATTTGAAATTCGAATTTTGATGATTTTATTTCCCTGGACCTAGTTGTTTCAAACTTTAATGAAGCATTGAGACACCACTCTGACATACTAGTATTTGATCCAGAAGAAGCCCTACAATATCTAAGAAATACACTATACATGGGGGTAGATCGAACTGTATTTCTTTTCTAAGATGCCAAATTTAATACACACAGGAATTAATCCAGGAAACAAACTAGTGACGTCAAAATTGTGTGACGTAATGCAAAAAAAGTGTACTGATGAACTACTGTCGGCGCCTTTGATCTTTTAGCGATGCATCTTAGAATAGTATACAAACCTCAAATTTGGATACTTTTCATTATTTTACGTGGAGCGCTCCCAATAACAAAAAAACCCGCTTTTCTTTCCAGGTCCCTCAGCCCCTTCAGAGGAAAGAAATTCACCAAAAAGAAGCATTCTAAAAAGTCGAAGAAGTCCGCATTTAAAAAACACGACAGCGAACCCAAACCAAGCAGTGAAATGTAAGTGAAATCACCAAAGTCCCACCTGGGCGAAAACGGAAGTAAATGTCTGTTCCTGTTAGATGAGCACATCGTCAGATGTCAGCGTGTATTCGTGAAGCTAGGTGGATGTTACATGTTCCAATTAATTTGCAACATTTCAAGTCTGTTAGTGTTCTTTTATCTGGACTTTGTGATCATTTCATGTAGCTTAGGTTGTGAAGAGGAAATGTTTTTCGGGTGGTGTTACCCATAGGCGCCCGACTCTGATATATCTATAAGTATGACCTATATGTATAATATATACACTTATATCTTATACATATAGGTCATACTTATAAATATGTCAGAGTCGGGCGCCTATGGTGTTACCAATCAATACAGAGAACTCCTGCGCCATATTGTATAAGACATTTGGGGATTCTAACCGGGCTTGTCTTGCAAGTTATCAGGGAGACTATATAAGTAGATTATCCCTGATGTTATGTAGCCTCTAACCCGTCATGAACTCTTTGGGTTTGGGTGGCCTGGTGGGTGGTGAAGACACATCTGACACTTAAGTGAATGTGGAATTCGTTCAGGTAAATATTGCTTGCAGTTAGCAGAAAATCGGACTTATTGCTCGTGGGTTAGTGGTGGTTGTTTTGAGATGGTGTGGATTTCTCACATCTCTGTCCTTGCTGGGTTGGTGGACTAGCAGCTCTAAGAGTTGTAACCAACAAAAAGGCTTAACTCAATACCCAAACTCTCAATAAATGGCAGAAAGCATCGTTCCTGAACACAGGAAACACAAGGCTGGACTTGTTCATGGTAACACCAACAAGCACAGATGTGATGCGGAAAACCAAGGAGTATTGGATTATGGCATGCACAAGGGATGCAACTCTGCATGCACTGTCCAAAATCTTTGGCGCATGTGTATTAAAGTTAGTTAATAGGTTATGGGATCTTCCCATCGCCAGTAGTTTAGGAGTGGGTAGACACTCTTTCTGTGGGTTACCTCTGAAAAATTGCACATGTTATGGGTGTAACATTGGCTGGTGTTGTGAAACATGACAAAATGTAATTGAAAAGGTGGTCAAATGAGTGAGTGAGTTTAGTTTTACACCGCACTCAGCAATATTCCAGCTATATGGCTGAGGTTTATAAAAATCGAGTCAGGACCAGACAATCCAGTGATCAACAGCATGAGCATCGATCTGCGCAATTGGGTACCGATGACGTGTCAACCAAGTCAGCGAGCCTGACCACCCGATCTCGTTCGTCGCCTCTAACGACAAGCATAGTCGCCTTTTGTGGCAAGCATGGGTTGCTGAAGACCTATTCTACCCCAGATATTCACGGGTCAGGTGGTCAAATGAGCCCTACTCTCTCTACTGAGTAGGTGGGAACCTTCCTACTGTACGAGTGAGTGAGTGAGTGAGTTTAGTCTTGCACCGCTTTTCGCAATATTCCACCAATATCATGGTGGGTGACACCTCAAATGGGCTTTACACATTTTACCCATGTGATGAATCGAACCCGGTCTTCAGCATGATGAGCAAACGCTTTAACCACTAGGCTACCCCACTGCTCCCCCTACTGCATGACATTAAAGCAGAGTGTAAGGTAGATAACATAAGCACAGAACCAATTCACCAGTGACAGAGGAACCTAGGGCAAAAACACATTCAAAACATACTGAGTGCGCTTTCTTCCTGAGTGACCTGATTGTATGCCAGAATGCTTACAACAAGGTTAAAAACTTAAATGGATTTTTCATATTTTTCAGGAAGGTTGTGACAAACAAGACACGTGGTGGTCACAAGACACCCAGCTCCTGTCCAAACGTTGGAACATCCACCATGAAATGATCCGGAAACGAAAACCACATGTCTTTCAAGGCGCTCAGGGCCTATTTTTGTATATACTGATCTTGTAATAAATGACTTTGAAAATAAGATGGATGTGTTTGTTTTCTATGAAAACAATTTTGTCCCCGTCACTTTCTGTGATAGGGTGAGTAGGTTGGGTTTAACACTGCTGCGAACAACTCTCCAGTAACATCAAGGTGCCTCAGCTGAACGTGGGAGGAGAGCAGCAGGAAGTTATTACATCTACAAGTCTGGTGAAACCAACAAAAGCATTGTGCTAACTAACCTTGAACATAAGATCAGAAAAACAGGAAACATTTCAAACACAAAAGCTGGTGATTTGATTGACTTTTATGTATATTCTGTAGATGTTGGTAGTTCAGAATCAAATAGTTCTGAAACAATTCTGAAGTAATTCCCTGGTTGTCCAGTGAGTGAGTGAGTGAGTGAGAGAGTTAATATTTAACGTCACATCGGCAATATTGCAGCCATATCGTGACGACCTGGTTGTCCAGACTTGTACAATAAAAACCTGCCATCACATTGGACTTACAACCGACATAAGGTCATTGAGAACATGTCTTGGAATGTCTACCGGACACGGTGGCCTGTCATGGGCCCTAGAGTATCCAGACACCTCACCCCAACACATGGTCATGTAGACTTTGTACTTGACTTGCTGTCTACAGGGCGTGGTGGCCTGTCATGGGCCCTAGAGTATCCAGACACCTCACCCCAACACATGGTCATGTAGACTTTGTACTTGACTTGGACAAGGTGCCTGACTTGCTGTCTACAGGGCGTGGTGCCCTGTCACTTGAGTCTCTTCTCTCAGCACCTTGCTCCCAACAGAAGATCACAAGGCTTTGCCATGAACATTACACTTTATCTGAGTTTCCTCCACAAAGTACAAGGACTATGTGTTCAGCCATACAATTCGTACTGGTAAAGAGGACTTGTGGAGGAGGTGGTCATCAAGAACCTGTCCCTGACTTGCTCTCTTCACGACACTCAAGCCCTGTACTCTTCTGCCGCAGCTTGCCCCCACCTAATAGAACTCGTCTCTGACTGACTGTCTACAGGACACTGTGCCCTGTCATGGGGCCTCAAATCTCCCAACACCTCACCCCGAGGTCATCTAGAACTCCTCCCTGACTGAGTGTCTACAGGGCACGGTGCCTTGTCAATAGGTGTCTCTACACAGTCCTGAGGTGCCTCTTCTCCCGCCGTGTCTGTCGACTCCTGCCGTGTACCGGCATCCAGTCCAGGTTTCTGGTATTTACACTGGATCCACACACGGTACATCTTGAGCTGCTTGCCTCGGTTCACCTGCAGGCGCCGGTCAATCAGATTCTGTTTCTCCACCAAGCCACTCTTGGAGAACATATCACGTAGTTCCTCTGAAAGTGTGAAATATTACATCATTATTTAATGCTATATACCATCCATGAGACAAAGGGTGGAATATTTTTAGTATTTTTTACTTCAGTTTATTGTCTAAAATAGGACTCACAGATAATGTAACATTTGCTATATTTGACAGAAAATATCAACATGAGTCAATAAAATGTCAGGGACTATGAGTAAAGCAAATACTTCAAAACCACCTTGCAATTATATTGTGTTAACATTGCTTTGAGTAACAGGGCTTTGGATATTGCTACCTGACATATGTTTGTTGTTTACCTTGTGCTAATAGTGTCCCTGACTTAGTGAAATGAAAACAACACAGACCGTTAGAGTATCAAGAGTCAGATCAAACCTTGGGTGAAGAAATAGACGCGTGTGCCATCCCCCCTCACATAGAAGTTCTCGGACAGACATCGACCTGAAACATTAGCAATTGTCAAACACAATTCACCAAAGGGTATGGTTCTGACAAACCTTGGAACAAACTTAGGGGGGTAAATCATGGTTACAACTACAGTGAATCCTGCATAAGTACAAGGGAGAAAACTGTGTATGGCCACTAATGGTGCCTTAGAGCGTGCCAGTTGTGCCTCATCTAATATTAATACTGAAGATTGTATACCAAGTAATTATAATCTTTCCTTTCAATGACTCTGAAGAATGACTCAAACAGACTCAATAACTTGGACATATTCACTTACATGGTTGTGTCAACTATGTAAACTTTTGTAAATGTCTGCCACAAAACAGAATGTTTACAGGAAATATTTTTGGGAATGAAAGAAGTACCTTTTTAAATCTCAGCTGTGCCATGTCGTAGCGTCCATAGTCTCGGAACAAGATCTGTCCCCCCGGCTTCAACAGGCGGGACAACCGATCTATCACAAACTGCATTCTGGGAAAGTACACATATTTTTTTAATAGATACTCCAAAAGTTGCAGTACTAAGTGTTGACTGAAAGACTTTGAAGAGAATATAAGAGATGACAGCATATGTTTTCTGAAGCTAAACCATCCATTGACAGGTCTGATTTATGAAGGGAGACAACTCCTGCATGGTAAACTGGATTCTTATGCTATTCCAGAAAGACAGGTGAAGATTGTTATGTAAAATATTCCATCAGGGGACTGTGTTCCTTGTCAGTGATTGAAAATATGAGTCATTTCACAGCAATTTTTTTCTATCCATAAATGTTTCAAATATATGAAATCATTTCATGATTGACATATATATATAATGTCCACAAACTCACTTCTGTGGGTTGATGGCAGACAGAACAAAGATCATGATGATAAGGTCAAGGCTGTTGTCTGGCATCGGCAGCACAGTGTTGGTGTCACTGATGTCAGAGACGAAGGCATGACAGCGATGTGGATTGTAGTCTGTGTGTTCCTACAGTGAAACAGCAGTCATACACTTTGTTTCCATGGAGACAAAACATTGGCAGTTTGATTCAAAAATAATTTCCTGGACAAAATGTGTGTTCTTCAAAAAGGTTCCATTTTTCACAAATATTATATCTCTCTTACCACAAGGGGAAAATTGGCCCCAAACTTTTCAGATTGATTTATTTGTTAATCAACACTTCATAATAATTGGATATTCTTAACATTTGTATAATAGTCTTGAAAGATGCTGCAGCTTCCTTTGGAGTACCCACATATCCAAAATGTTCATCTTAACCACCATTATATACTTTTAGAATCTATACACCATTTTAGGTCAAATAGCTTGCCTACTGGATGCTTTAAATAACTGACCTTGACAATCTGAACTGCAGTGGAAGAAAAATCACAGCAGTACACCATCAGCTTTGAATCACTGAAAGAAAAGCATCTACATATACAGGTGGAATTTTATCATTACACGCAAGAGCATACCTTTACAAACAGACAGCCCAAAGTGACTTCTGTGACATCAGACATGCGCGATGCTGACAGACCAAAGACTTATAAAAAAGGGAGCAAATCTTTGATGCCATGATCAACACCAAAGGGGAGCAACTCTGCACAGCATATCGGCACACCAAGAACACCAGGGCACCTGTACCCTCTGAATCTGGCTCATACATATATTATTATTATTATTATTGGATATTTATATGGTGCACATATCCATGCACTAGTGCATGCTCAAGGCACTGGCCTCTTCCTCCTGACTTGAGTCCCACACAACATTGTCACACACTAGTGCATGCTCAAGGCATTGGTATTCCCTATAAACCATGCTCAAGGCATTGGTATTCCCTATAAACCATGCTCAAGGTGCTGGTATTCCCTATAAACCATGCTCAAGGTGTTGGTATTCCCTATAAACCATGCTCAAGGTGCTGGTATTCCCTATAAACCATGCTCAAGGTGCTGGTATTCCCTATAAACCATGCTCAAGGTGCACTGGTATTCCCTATAAACCATGTTTGGTTTTCCCTAACCATGCTCAAGGTGTTGGTATTCCCTATAAACCATGCTCAAGGTGTTGGTATTCCCTATAAACCATGCTCAAGGTGTTGGTATTCCCTATAAACCATGCTCAAGGCACTGGTATTCCCTATAAACCATGCTCAAGGTGTTGGTATTCCCTATAAACCATGCTCAAGGTGTTGGTATTCCCTATAAACCATGCTCAAGGTGTTGGTATTCCCTATAAACCATGCTCAAGGCACTGGTATTCCCTATAAACCATGTTTAAGGTGTTGGTATTCCCTATAAACCATGCTCAAGGTGTTGGTATTCCCTATAAACCATGCTCAAGGTGTTGGTATTCCCTATAAACCATGCTCAAGGCATTGGTATTCCCTATAAACCATGCTCAAGGTGTTGGTATTCCCTATAAACCATGCTCAAGGTGTTGGTATTCCTATAAACCATGCTCAAAGCTCAAGGGGTATTCCTATAAACCATGCTCATGGTGTTGGTATTCCCTATAAACCATGCTCAAGGTGTTGGTATTCCTATAAACCATGCTCAAGGTGTTGGTATTCCCTATAAACCATGCTCAAGGTGTTGGTATTCCTATAAACTATAAAACCATGCTCAAGGTGCTGGTATTCCCTATAAACCATGCTCAAGGTGCTGGTATTCCCTATAAACCATGCTCAAGGTGTTGGTATTCCCTATAAACCATGCTCAAGGTGCTGGTATTCCCTATAAACCATGCTTATGGTGTTGGTATTCCCTATAAACCATGCTCAAGGTGTTGGTATTCCCTATAAACCATGCTCAAGGCACTGGTATTCCCTATAAACCATGCTCAAGGTGTTGGTATTCCCTATAAACCATGCTCAAGGCATTGGTATTCCCTATAAACCATGCTCAAGGTGTTGGTATTCCCTATAAACCATGCTCAAGGTGTTGGTATTCCCTATAAACCATGCTCAAGGTGCTGGTATTCCCTATAAACCATGCTCAAGGTGTTGGTATTCCTATATAAACCATGCTCAAGGTGTTGGTATTCCCTATAAACCATGCTCAACGCCCTATAAACCATGCTCAAGGTGTTGGTATTCCCTATAAACCATGCTCAAGGTGCTGGTATTCCCTATAAACCATGCTCAAGGTGTTGGTATTCCCTATAAACCATGCTCAAGGTGTTGGTATTCCCTATAAACCATGCTCAAGGTGTTGGTATTCCCTATAAACCATGCTCAAGGTGTTGGTATTCCCTATAAACCATGCTCAAAACCATGCTGGTATTCCTATAAACCATGCTCAAGGTGTTGGTATTCCCTATAAACCATGCTCAACGTGTCAAGTTGGTATTCCCTATAAACCATGCTCAAGGTGTTGGTATTCCTATAAACCATGCTCAAGGTGTTGGTATTCCCTATAAACCATGCTCAAGGTGTTGGTATTCACTATAAACCATGCTCAAGGTGTTGGTATTCACTATAAACCATGCTCAAGGTGTTGGTATTCCCTATAAACCATGCTCAAGGTGCTGGTATTCCCTATAAACCATGCTCAAGGTGCTGGTATTCCCTATAAACCATGCTCAAGGTGTTGGTATTCCCTATAAACCATGCTCAAGGTGCTGGTATTCCCTATAAACCATGCTCAAGGTGTTGGTATTCCCTATAAACCATGCTCAATAAACCATGCTCAAGGTTGGTATTCCCTATAAACCATGCTCAAGGCGTTGGTATTCCCTATAAACCATGCTCAAGGCTTGGTATTCCCTATAAACCATGCTCAAGGTGCTGGTATTCCCTATAAACCATGCTCAAGGTGCTGGTATTCCTATAAACCATGCTCAAGGTGTTGGTATTCTCCCTATAAAACCATGCTCAAGGTGCTGGTATTCCCTATAAACCATGCTTATGGTGTGCTGGTATTCCCCATAAACCATGCTCAAGGTGTTGGTATTCCCTATAAACCATGCTCGTGCTGGTATTCCCTATAAACCATGCTCAAGGTGTTGGTATTCCCTATAAACCATGCTCAAAACGTGCTGGTATTCCCTATAAACATGCTCATGCTGGTTATAAACCATGCTGGTGTTGGTATTCCCTATAAACCATGCTCAAGGTGTTGGTATTCCCTATAAACCATGCTCAAGGTGTTGCATTGGTATTCCCTATAAACCATGCTCAAGGTGTTGGTATTCCTATAAACCATGCTCAAGGCACTGGTATTCCTATAAACCATGCTCAAGGTGTTGGTATTCCCTATAAACCATGCTCAAGGTGTTGGTATTCCCTATAAACCATGCTCAAGGTGCTTGGTATTCCCTATAAACCATGCTCAAGGTGTTGGTATTCCCTATAAACCATGCTCAAGGTGTTGGTATTCCCTATAAACCATGCTCAAGGTGTTGGTATTCCCTATAAACCATGCTCAACATGCTGGTATTCCCTATAAACCATGCTCAAGGTGTTGGTATTCCTATAAACCATGCTCAACGTGTTGGTATTCCCTATAAACCATGCTCAAGGTGTGTTGGTATTCCCTATAAACCATGCTCAAGGTGTTGGTATTCCCTATAAACCATGCTCAAGGTGCTGGTATTCCCTATAAACCATGCTCAACGGGTGCTGGTATTCCTATAAACCATGTTGGTATTCCCTATAAACCATGCTCAACGTGTTGGTATTCCCTATAAACCATGCTCAAGGTGTTGGTATTCACTATAAACCATGCTCAAGGTGTTGGTACTCCCATATAAACCATGCTCAACGGTTGGTATTCCTATAAACCATGTTTATGGTGTTGGTATTCCCCATAAACCATGCTCAAGGTGTTGGTATTCCCTATAAACCATGCTCCAAAGGTGTTGGTATTCCCTATAAACCATGCTCAAGGTGTTGGTATTCCCTATAAACCATGCTCAAGGCACTGGTATTCCCTATAAACAATGTTTATGGTGTTGGTATTCCCTATAAACCATGCTCAAGGTGTTGGTATTCCCTATAAACCATGCTCAACGTGTTGGTATTCCCTATAAACCATGCTCAACGTGTTGGTATTCCCTATAAACCATGCTCAAGGTGTTGGTATTCCCTACAAACCATGCTCAACGTGTTGGTATTCCCTATAAACCATGCTCAACGTGTTGGTATTCCCTATAAACCATGCTCAAGGTGTTGGTATTCCCTATAAACCATGCTCAAGGTGCTGGTATTCCCTATAAACCATGCTCAAGGTGCTGGTATTCCCTATAAACCATGCTCAAGGTGTTGGTATTCCCTATAAACCATGCTCAAGGTGTTGGTATTCCCTATAAACCATGCTCAAGGTGCTGGTATTCCCTATAAACCATGCTCAAGGTGTTGGTATTCCCTATAAACCATGCTCAACGTGTTGGTATTCCCTATAAACCATGCTCAAGGTGCTGGTATTCCCTATAAACCATGCTCAAGGTGTTGGTATTCCCTATAAACCATGCTCAAGGTGTTGGTATTCCCTATAAACCATGCTCAAGGTGTTGGTATTCCCTATAAACCATGCTCAACATGCTGGTATTCCCTATAAACCATGCTCAAGGTGTTGGTATTCCCTATAAACCATGCTCAACGTGTTGGTATTCCCTATAAACCATGCTCAAGGTGTTGGTATTCCCTATAAACCATGCTCAAGGTGTTGGTATTCCCTACAAACCATGCTCAACGTGGTATGGTATTCCCTATAAACCATGCTCAAGGTGTTGGTATTCCCTATAAACCATGCTCAACGGTGTTGGTATTCCCTATAAACCATGCTCAAGGTGTTGGTATTCACTATAAACCATGCTCAAGGTGTTGGTATTCCTATAAACCATGCTCAAGGTGTTGGTATTCCCTATAAACCATGCTCAAGGTGTTGGTATTCACTATAAACCATGCTCAAGGTGTTGGTATTCCCTATAAACCATGCTCAAGGTGTTGGTATTCCCTATAAACCATGTTCAAGGTGCTGGTATTCCCTATAAACCATGCTCAAGGTGTTGGTATTCCCTATAAACCATGCTCAAAGTGTTGGTATTCCCTATAAACCATGCTCAAGGTGTTGGTATTCCCTATAAACCATGCTCAAGGTGCTGGTATTCCCTATAAACCATGCTCAAGGTGTTGGTATTCCCTATAAACCATGCTCAAGGTGCTGGTATTCCTATAAACCATGCTCAAGGTGTTGGTATTCCCTATAAACCATGCTCATGCTCAAGGCATTGGTATTCCCTATAAACCATGCTCAAGGTGCTGGTATTCCCTATAAACCATGCTCAAGGTGTTGGTATTCCCTATAAACCATGCTCAAGGTGTTGGTATTCCCTATAAACCATGCTCAAGGTGCTGGTATTCCCTATAAACCATGCTCAAGGTGTTGGTATTCCCTATAAACCATGCTCAAGGCATTGGTATTCCCTATAAACCATGCTCAAGGTGTTGGTATTCCCTATAAACCATGCTCAAGGTGCTGGTATTCCCTACAAACCATGCTCAAGGTGTTGGTATTCCCTATAAACCATGCTCAAGGTGCTGGTATTCCCTATAAACCATGCTCAAGGCATTGGTATTCCCTATAAACCATGCTCAACGTGCTGGTATTCCCTATAAACCATGCTCAAGGTGTTGGTATTCCCTATAAACCATGCTCAAGGTGCTGGTATTCCCTATAAACCATGCTCAAGGTGTTGGTATTCCCTATAAACCATGCTCAAGGTGTTGGTATTCCCTATAAACCATGCTCAAGGTGTTGGTATTCCCTATAAACAATGCTCAAGGTGTTGGTATTCACTATAAACCATGCTCAAGGTGTTGGTATTCCCTATAAACCATGCTCAAGGCATTGGTATTCCCTATAAACCATGCTCAAGGTGCTGGTATTCCCTATAAACCATGCTCAAGGCACTGGTATTCCCTATAAACCATGCTCAAGGTGCTGGTATTCCCTATAAACCATGCTCAAGGTGCTGGTATTCCCTATAAACCATGTTTAAGGTGCTGGTATTCCCTATAAACCATGCTCAAGGTGTTGGTATTCCCTATAAACCATGGGGGAATATGGGAATAGTATAGGTCCCCAGCAACCAATGCTTGTCAAATAGACGAGTGGTCAGTGGTTTCTGTACTCATTGCATGTCATGGTGACCTTACGTGTGATGTTGGTCCTTATAGTGACGGCTTGTTTGTCAAGTCCAGTGTCGCTTATTTCAAGGCCACCTTCATAGAGATGATTGTGGTGTTAAACAACAAACTAAAATAAGAGTACTGTACTTGGCTTAGACAAAAATTAAGAAATAAGTTCCAGATGAAGTCATGTGACTCACTTGTTTGTCTGCAGGATGGGGAAGACGGTGTTACCCACACCACATCCAACCTGGAAACAAAAAAAACAAGAATAATGTCTTTACAAGGATTTATCTAAACCTCCACAGAGGCCAATATTCAGCACAATGTCAGTGAGTTTCCAAATGTGAAGTAATATGTTCCTATTCCATGCACATACAGATGTGTATGTCAGCTAGTTTTGAGAGTAAGGCCTGGACTACTTCAGGTCTTAAACATGAATGACTTCTGTGAAACGTGAACAGGGATATTGTGATTTCAAACCACAAAACATTAATTATCATGGACAATATGAGATTTGCTATGCTAAAGGGACACAACTCTGTGTGATAAATTGCTCTGCCTAGGACTGAGCCACCAGGGCCACCTGTGCTAACAAACAATGAGTTCCAGCTTGAACACAAGACTCAGAGTTTCATTACTAAAATACCTTTTCACAATTCGACCACAATTCGGTTGAATCAGTTCATCTTACTAAAGATTCATGTATTCATCAAGATCTGACACACTGAACTTTCTAATGAGCCAGTCAGGGCTAAAGCTCATAGTTCTCAGCACAAGTGAGCGCAGCATCACTAATTTCTCTATCTCAAAAACAACATAAACTGATGATCTTTCACAGACAAGACTGGGCAAAAAGTAATTTCTTTTAATGTTATTTGGTACGACGTGATAAGAGCAATAATGAATTTACCTCAAATATTCTGAAGTCAGCATTTTCTCCGGGATACGCCTCTACCCTGTCAGAATCTACTGGAGACTCAGTCGCTGTCAGGGAAATATTCTCAACTCCCTGGGCAACATCTAAGTATTCAGTCTTCCCACCATTCCCTGCTTCCCTGTTTCCTGTTGTCAGGGATTCTGTCTTGTCATTGGCCGAGTCTAACTCTGGGAACTCAACAAACAGCCAATGACGATCCTTGAAGAACCTGTTGGTGTGAATGTTGTAGAATTCGTCCCAGAAATGATCTGCCTTCTCTTCATACATCTCTGAAACAAATATTCCCGCACTTTACTCAAGTGACGACACAGTAGTTTATGTTCTGCAATATGATATGTCACAATGGGCACGGTAATAATTGAGGCAACAATTTGTTGGCACATGTACTTATCTATGGTCTCTCGACAGAGGGCGTCTGTCACCTGTACATGCCTGTGGTCTCCTGTGGAAGAGGAAGTACTACCTGTAAATGCCTGTGGTCTCCTGTTGGAGGGCTTCTGTCACCTGTACATACCTATGGTCTCCTGTGGGAGGGCTTCTGTCACCTGTACATACCTATGGTCTCCTGTTGGAGGGCTTCTGTCACCTGTACATACCTATGGTCTCCTGTGGGAGGGCTTCTGTCACCTGTACATACCTATGGTCTCCTGTTGTAAGGCTTCTGTCACCTGTACATACCTATGGTCTCCTGTTGGACGGCTTCTGTCACCTGTACATACCTGTGGTCTCCTGTGGAAGAGGAAGTACTACCTGTAAATGCCTGTGGTCTCCTGTTGGAGGGCTTCTGTCACCTGTACATACCTATGGTCTCCTGTTGAAGGGCTTCTGTCACCTGTACATACCTATGGTCTCCTGTGGGACGGCTTCTGTCACCTGTACATACCTATGGTCTCCTGTTGGAGGGCTTCTGTCACCTGTACATACCTATGGTCTCCTGTTGGAGGGCTTCTGTCACCTGTACATACCTATGGTCTCCTGTTGTAGGGCTTCTGTCACCTGTAGATACCTATGGTCTCCTGTGGGAGAGATTCTACTACCTGTACATACCTATGGTCTCCTGTTGTAAGGCTTCTGTCACCTGTACATACCTATGGTCTCCTGTTGGAGGGCTTCTGTCACCTGTACATACCTATGGTCTCCTGTGGGAGGGCTTCTGTCACCTGTACATACCTATGGTCTCCTGTTGTAAGGCTTCTGTCACCTGTACATACCTATGGTCTCCTGTTGGACGGCTTCTGTCACCTGTACATACCTATGGTCTCCTGTGGGAGGGCTTCTGTCACCTGTACATACCTATGGTCTCCTGTGGGAGGGCTTCTGTCACCTGTACATACCTATGGTCTCCTGTTGGAGGGCTTATGTCACCTGTACATACCTATGGTCTCCTGTTGTAAGGCTTCTGTCACCTGTACATACCTATGGTCTCATGTGGGAGAGATTATACTACCTGTACATACCTATGGTCTCCTGTTGTAAGGCTTCTGTCACCTGTACATACCTATGGTCTCATGTGGGAGTGATTCTTCTACCCGTACATACCTATGGTCTCCTGTTGTAAGGCTTCTGTCACCTGTACATACCTATGGTCTCCTGTGGGACGGCTTCTGTCACCTGTACATACCTATGGTCTCCTGTGGGACGGCTTCTGTCACCTGTAGATACCTATGGTCTCCTGTTGTAAGGCTTCTGTCACCTGTACATACCTAAAGTCTCCTGTTGTAAGGCTTCTGTCACCTGTAGATACCTATGGTCTCCTGTTGGAGGGCTTCTGTCACCTGTACATACCTATGGTCTCCTGTGGGACGGCTTCTGTCACCTGTACATACCTATGGTCTCCTGTTGGACGGCTTCTGTCACCTGTACATACCTATGGTCTCATGTGGGAGTGATTCTACTACCTGTACATACCTATGGTCTCCTGTTGGACGGCTTCTGTCACCTGTACATACCTATGGTCTCCTGTTGTAAGGCTTCTGTCACCTGTACATACCTATGGTCTCCTGTGGGAGGGCTTCTGTCACCTGTACATACCTATGGTCTCCTGTTGGACGGCTTCTGTCACCTGTACATACCTATGGTCTCCTGTTGAAGGGCTTCTGTCACCTGTACATACCTATGGTCTCCTGTGGGAGGGCTTCTGTCACCTGTACATACCTATGGTCTCCTGTTGGAGGGCTTCTGTCACCTGTACATACCTATGGTCTCCTGTTGGAGAGCTTCTGTCACCTGTACATACCTATGGTCTCCTGTGGGAGGGCTTCTGTCACCTGTACATACCTATGGTCTCCTGTGGGAGGGCTTCTGTCACCTGTACATACCTATGGTCTCCTGTTGGAGGGCTTCTGTCACCTGTACATACCTATGGTCTCCTGTTGTAAGGCTTCTGTCACCTGTACATACCTATGGTCTCCTGTGGGAGAGATTATACTACCTGTACATACCTATGGTCTCCTGTTGGAGGGCTTCTGTCACCTGTACATACCTATGGTCTCCTGTGGGAGAGATTCTACTACCTGTACATACCTATGGTCTCCTGTTGGAAGGCTTCTGTCACCTGTACATACCTATGGTCTCCTGTTGGAGGGCTTATGTCACCTGTACATACCTATGGTCTCCTGTTGTAAGGCTTCTGTCACCTGTACATACCTATGGTCTCATGTGGGAGAGATTCTACTACCTGTACATACCCATGGTCTCCTGTTGTAAGACTTCTGTCACCTGTACATACCTATGGTCTCATGTGGGAGAGATTCTACTACCTGTACATACCTATGGTCTCCTGTTGGAGGGCTTCTGTCACCTGTACATACCTATGGTCTCCTGTTGGAAAGGGCTTCTGTCACCTGTACATACCTATGGTCTCCTGTGGGAGGGCTTCTGTCACCTGTACATACCTATGGTCTCCTGTGGGAGGGCTTCTGTCACCTGTACATACCTATGGTCTCCTGTGGGAGAGCTTCTGCTACCTGTACATACCCATGGTCTCCTGTGGGATCTGCTTCTGTCACCTGTACATACCCATGGTCTCCTGTGGGACGAGACCTGTACATACCTATGGTCTCCTGTGGGACGGCTTCTGTCACCTGTACATACCTAAGGTCTCCTGTGGGAGGGCTTCTGTCACCTGTACATACCTATGGTCTCCTGTGGGAGGGCTTCTGTCACCTGTACATACCTATGGTCTCCTGTTGGAGGGCTTCTGTCACCTGTACATACCTATGGTCTCCTGTTGGAGGGCTTCTGTCACCTGTACATACCTGTGGTCTCCTGTGGGAGAGATTCTACTACCTGTACATACCTATGGTCTCCTGTGGGACGGCTTCTGTCACCTGTACATACCTATGGTCTCCTGTTGGAGGGCTTCTGTCACCTGTACATACCTGTGGTCTCCTGTGGGAGAGCTTCTGCTAGCTGTTGCTGGGTCTTCTTCCGGGCCTCTTCTTCTTGACTCGAGTCCCACACAACATTGTCCCTGTCACAGAGACAGACACATTTGTATCACTAAGAACCTTGTTCTTCACTTATATTCCTAGCATGAACCTGTAGTGTTTGAATTTGGTTAAAAGATGAATTACTGATTTCTCTTAAAAAGCAGTTAAAACATAGACAAATTTATAAGACATTTAACATGAGAAAGAGAAACTTTCTCAACATCCTTCACACTGTTCATGGAAATTTTCCAGCTATAGTTCAGCGGCCTTTCAATAATCAAGTCTGGACAAGACAATCAATTATCACACTCATCTTGTTATTTCAATACACACATCTATCTACTGCAATGCCCCTTAGATACCTATTTGCACCCTTACTCTTTCATTTGGGGTTTTCAAATACTATTAACAATTACTATGATCCAATAAATGGGTGATAAATGTCATATTCAATGCATAATAAACACAGCAATGACGTAATATAACTACATCATAATTTATCTGTTTTGAATATATTCCTCAGTATGTTTGTGATGGTAATGCATGTGAGTTTGCTGTACAGCTTCTCTGAGCAGTAACTGAATTTCATCAATGTGTGTCACTGTCAGCTTGTGGAAAGCCTAAAAAAGCCTCAAAGTTGTGGTCAAGAAGAACCCTATAGACGGGGAACTGTCTCACGTACATGTTAAGTCCTCTATTGATAGACAAACACAGAAATCTCACACAGGTTTTTGTAAGTGTTTCTCTCTAAGTGTTTGAAAACATTCATTGGATTTTTCTTTATTCATTTGCAAATTTTTACTTCAATTTTGGCTCCAATCAATGCAGATTTATAACTTTTCTTCAATATCAAAACTACCCAGACAGCAATAAAGGTCAGTTTATATTTACCAGTTATTGAATTCCCATACTCGACTTTCATCGGTCAAAGGTCTGCCCCTTCTACCAGCTTGAGGCTGATTTGGTCTAATCTTATGTTTGTGGTTTGAACATGCTCGGTGTTTTGTGGACAGTTTGAAAACATGACTGAGCACTCTGCTACCATACACTCTTCTAGCAAGTCCATTCATATTTTCTCAATTACTGTCAATGACTACACCTGACCATATAACATTTTCATACTTGCTTTGCTACAAGGTACTACCGTTCTTAACAGATGCTGGAAGGATAAACACACAAATTGATGTGACAACGTTTCTTCAAAGAGAACAACATTTAATCTAGCCAACATGGAACGAAAATAACCAGATGAAAGCGTGCTTGTATTTGTCTGTGAAGCATATTAATAAAGATCAATGGAAGTTCTGTAGCATACTGATTAGATTTGATCACTTTCTATGTTTACCATGCATTGTGTTCAAACACATTCTTAGCGTCGGTGAGGTATCGGTTACCAAACTGCGGACGTTTCTCGTCATCTAATGCATCTTCGTTCGACGCCATAGTTTCGAATTAAAATAAATGTGATTATTTCCGTAAACAAACTATTCCGCCTAACACGTTTATGAAATTTCTAAACACATGTCGAAACCGGATATATTCACTTTGGTGTTTTCCTATGCAGGAGTGAACTAAAGGGGAGTAACTCTAAGATAATTCTAACTTCAGCAACCCCAAAAGGACCCCAGATTTGTATTTATCTCTGAGGATTTGTTTTTCATCTCGACACTGTTTGATTATAAGTTGATAAACACAGGTTTGGCACAAAGAAGCACTCACCAAGCTGGAATGATGTTAAGAATAATTTAGGTGAAACCTTCAGGACAAATGACGAATGTGCACTTCAGTGGGCCATGTAGCCCCTCTGGCTACTTATGAGTCTACAAACTATCTGCATATAAGCGGTTACAGTTTTTTTCGGAATGTGATCACGGAAAGAAGGGGTGTCTAGTTGCCATCACAGAAAACAACACAGTATCAAAACAAAATTATATGGCTGGGATTTAATTAATGGGGTTTCAATGCTGCGTTAATTAAATGTTTATAAGAAAGTGGCTGCTTGTAGTCCGAACTTATGCCGGTTCTATAGTGCTGGCCCACCTAGGTACAATGGATCCCCAACTCAGCTACGTTAGACTCGGAGCCGACCAGCCCTTGTTTTATTCTTTTATGGCGAGGGTCAGGCAAGGTAACAACAAGTACCGGGTCCATTAGCTCCACGTGATCACCCATGTCCTCTACTCTATAGTGTTGGGAATTGGTTGAAATCTAATAATTGATGATTGGTCCATTACAACCGATCAATCATCGAAAATAATTGGTTAGCATCATTTATTAAATGTCCCTGTTATTTTTTGTTAATGCACACAGAAAAATATAGAAAAAAACATGCAGTATTTTGGGTTTTTTGCAAATTGCTTAAAGTCCATTTGCAAATTTTGCATATTTAAATGATGATTAGTATGTTAGGAACACATATTTCCTGGATTCTTTAAGATAAATTCAATCATGACTTGGAACGAGCTTGTAGTGCTTATGAAATGTAAATTTAATGACACAGACAAAACCAGCCTTGTGAAAAATTGTTGTTAATGCAAACAAGTTTTCCAAGATTGGTCGTGTTCAATTACGAGAAAAGTCACTGCGACCAATCTTCGATTATTTCAATTAATCTGACCACCACTACTACTCCAACATCCACCACACTCGCTTGAAGTAAGTCGTGCTGTCACCATATCTCATTACCCACTCGACCTGTTTCCCTTCTTTTTCATATTTCTTTCAATATGTGTAAGTCTCTTCGCGTACTGTCCTCTGTCTATCATGGGTAAAAATGAATAAATATCATGGCTCAAGAATACACAAATCCAAGAAGTGCCTTGCAAAGTAACGTCCTCTTCTATTAGTCGTTTCAGGAAACCTGTTTTATAGCGGGGCCCCCTTTGGGATTACGGTGTTAGCAACATATGCTGAGAAACTAAAGCAACACTCGTCTACCTGGATGCTGTTGGCCATCTACGTCGCCATCTACGTAAAAGATTACTCTGAAGATTAATAAGTAACCTGGTCTTTGTTTTCTATTTACAAGATTATAACATTATCATCATCGGGTAACACAATTTGAGTTGTTTTAAGCTTAATCTGTCGGATGGGTGTCCATCCAATATAAGGTCGGCGTCGTACCTGGACCTGGAAGCGTTATTTGCTACTTAGGCCAGCAGACGTAGCTGCCATGGCAACGGTAGCCATTCGGTTAAAACATTAATTGGTATATGATAAGCAGACAAACGACTGCACCTGTGCTATTGGTCCACGCTTCACTAGGGATTGCTCATTGTTAGCCCAGACAGACACTGTTTGTTAATCCCACATTAATTTGAAGTAAGAAACATACTCATGGAAACGAATAAGGGAACACATGAAAGTACAAGTGTTCCGTTATTTATTTCCAGAATTTCACTCACAGTGCAATACATACCTTGTGAAGAAACCTGGAAAATAATAAAGGAACACTTGTACTTTCATGTTCCCTTGTTTGTTTCCACGAGTATATTTACATTGTTTTTGGGTTGTTGTGTTTTTTTATAAAAGTTGTGAACTCTCCTTTGTACGTCCGTTAAGCGTAACATGTTTCATGGGTGTTCTACCACTCCTTTTTGTTCTAAGTGGCACTAGAGTTGCATAAAAAGAACGAATCATAATAATAAAAGTAAAAAACGACAGTCATTGTGTTAATTAGTCGACCTTTTTAATGAATGGGATATTATTTGATATCTACACTGCTTTTGTGACATTTGGTTTCATGAGGAGAGCATTTTGTGTTGAGACGGTGCACTTCAAATCAGACCGGATACAGTCATGAGTAGACAGATCGAGTGGCCAGTGTATAGCCAGTCGGTGAAACAGAGGGAAATACCGTGACACGTTGTCCAATCACTATTAGACTGAAAACAAACATGGCCAGTGACTGCTGAAGATCGGCATACGATACGACAATGTAAAAAGAATGAAGACTTTTCAGTGATATTCAATGTTATTTATCACACATCACATTTCTCTCTTCTGAAGTATTCGGAGAGAGGTTTGAGATATCTAATGCTCAAACGCAGCTATCTGGACTTCCATATTCATATCATCTGGAATGATGTTTATCAAATCAAATGCAAATACACCCCAGCTAGGTATCAGCACAAGCCAGTTATATTGAGATCAAGACGCACTACTACACTAAATATAGGATTATATTACCCAAGGGAGTCTCTGTAAGAGGGTATTACGTGAACTCCCATAATCCCGACGTACGATAACAAGACTGCTTACGTCACTGAAACAGTGACTCTGATAACAACAATAACAGAAACTATACTAGGATCATCATTGTGATGCTGTAGGCTGATACCAAGAGCGGTATTTCGTGAATATTCTATTGCTATGCTATATTCAGCTTTATGTGACAGGAAAGCTGGAAGTGAGGGTAGTTCATTATTATATAAAATATCTGTACCGGTATGGTGATGGCAAACCGAGAACATAATCGCAGCGAACAGGGATTCGAACCCAGGATCTTATGTTCAGACACGTGAAATGCGGCGCTACACACAACGGGGGCAAAGTGAAGCCATGCACAACAAACGAGCTTTGTGTTGGAGGAAAGCCAGAAGCAATGCACGTCTTTGGTACAACCATGGAGACTATATAACGTTGTAGATTATCCCTGGTACAACCATGGAGACTATATAACGTTGTAGATTATCCCTGGTACAACCATGGAGACTCTATAACGTTGTAGATTATCCCTGGTACAACCATGGAGAAAGGGGGTGGTGCTTACAAACCTACAAACAATCGGAGCTAATCGGGATTCGAACCCGTGATCATACATGTAGGTTTCTGACCTTCTTGTCCCGGTTTAGTTAGGAAATTAGAGTGCATAATAGCCGATCTTGCGTACTTTCAGTCTTAAATGAAGTTATTATGTCGACACAAATGTAGAGCAGGAACCTCCCAAAACATTAACAGATTCAGAGGTTGTTGGCATCCTAATGTATGGTCACCCTTCCACAATTTGCACAAATTATCCTCTCCATCTCGACCAAAAGCAAACCCACAGCTAATATACATATGTGCGAGATGAGATAAACCTAGCACGGATCGCTGCTTGCAATATCGGTCGCATCGAGCTTGATTACGCATTGCAAGTCGCCCTGGCGTAGCTGACATAATGCTGTCTACGGTTTAAAGCCCGACCCAGGCGATCAATACAGAGAGAGAGAGAGAGAGAGAGAGAGAGAGAGAGAGAGAGAGAGAGAGAGAGAGAGAGAGAGAGAGAGAGAGAGAGAGAGAGAGAGAGAGAGAGAGAGAGAGAGAGAGAGAGAGAGAGAGAGAGAGAGAGAGATAATGTTTATTTGCGTCTCACTTTCTGTACATTGTCATAAAATGCCTGCGTTTTGTACAAAAGTTAATAGTACAGAAACCACCCGTTGGGTTATGGGAGACTATATTAAATCAATAAAAACATTGTGAACCAACAAATATCAGCACACGTAAAATCGTATACATTTGAAGTTAACACGTACAGGTATGCATACATACATAACATATATACAGCAAACATACATACAAACAAACATATAATCACATATACAAAACAGCATACAACCGCACATAATATACGCATACACGCATACATACACACATACATACAGACCTAATACACGTATACACACATCCACACACACACACATACACGCATGCATGCACACACACACCCAATATACGCACGCACGCACACACACACATACATACATACATACACATATATACATACATACACACACATAAATATACATGTATTATAATCATACATTCAATAATAACATATACTAGTATGCAGAATACAGATACCCTACACACAATATCATTAACACAATACAATGAAGTACAATATAGTTACGTACATTCGTACTGCTGTTACAATGCCTAACATTCATACACCATGTGTTGCATTCATCTAGTGTTAATGAATGAAAGAGTAGAATATTAATACATTTAAAACTTAAGATACAAGTAGTGTATAATATTTAAGATAAAGATTGACGTCGTTTATACATGTTTATAACAGTATCACAGAGGAGATGGACTATGCCAGTTGTGTTTAATAGATGTGTATTAATTTGAAGAAGTAACTGAGGAGGAGTTATTAAAGGATGGATATACATCAGATTGTGTCATAGTTTGAAACAGGTCGTATCGTAGGTCGTTGTACATATCACAGTCTACAAGAAAATGGATTTCATTTTCTATTCTATCCGAACAGAAGGGACACACCCTAGCGTTGAGAGGTATTGCAGGTCGACTGTGCCTGAGTTTTTCAATGCTTATTTGCAGGCTGCCACAACGAAGAAGTGCGAACATCTTTCTTGAAGATCGTGAAATGGACCGACTTAAAACATAAGCTTCAGGCTTCAAATCTTTCTTGGTTAGGCGGTATGTTCGAAGTTTATTTCCGTTTGGGTTGCCATGGTCATTCCATAGTTCACAAAACCAATTGTATTCGTCAATGATATGAAGCTCTCGTCGAAGTTGTGGCATCCTAATGTATGGTCACCCTTCCACAATTTGCACAAATTATCCTCTCCATCTCGACCAAAAGCAAACCCACAGCTAATATACATATGTGCGAGATGAGATAAACCTAGCACGGATCGCTGCTTGCAATATCGGTCGCATCGAGCTTGATTACGCATTGCAAGTCGCCCTGGCGTAGCTGACATAATGCTGTCTACGGTTTAAAGCCCGACCCAGGCGATCAATACAAACCACCACCGTAGCAACCCTAACAGGACCTCGGGCACCTTGCACTTCCTAGAAGTCACGTGATTTTCCAAAATGGCAGTCTTGAGGTGGATATACAGGAGGAGGAAAGTGTTTTTCTTCGTATTTTGTGCATCGTCATTTTGGATTGCATATTTGTACTTGTCGCTTCCAGTACCAAAAGGTAGGACTATACGTTTATTCGAAATTATTCATTTTTGCAAGCATTTTGAGTGTTGTTTGGTTGACAGTGTCTCCGACTTGGCGGAGGCAGAATTCATGCCTAGCGATGTAATGTTTGTTTAGCAGTGTTTAGCATAGTTGGGCACAGTGATATCGCTGTCTGTTGACATTGACTTTAGTTGAATGAATGCCCACATTGTACCATTGTCATCAGAAAATATTGATAAGTTATGATTATTCATAGGTGCCACCCATCCATAAAATAAAAACTCGACATAAAATTAGCCATGATTTGGTATTGGGATTGTATAGCATGCCTTCTCCAACCTTAGTGTTTGTTGTGTTAAGGATGAAGTAGATTAACGCCAAATCTATCCCTATCCCTATGCCTTTGACCCTTGTAATATATGACAAACATACTCTAAATTTCAGTACTACAGTTAGTCACTTATGCGTTGTTTTCCAACAAGTTCCAAGTAAAAAAAGTTATAGACAGTGTTTTAAGTGACTGATCTTTTTAGTACAAGTTGGTTCTACAAGCTCCTAATCATTGTGGCAATATATCAAAACTGTCATCGCATGTAGGTCTTCCTTGAGCATGATACTTTGTAATAATAATAATAATGAGAAGTCTCATAATGCACTTAATCTCCACGCAACAAAGCATGCACAAAGCACTAACATCCTGATTATTATTACCCCGGATAACCCAAGCTGCCTGTGAGGAACATTAAACACTCACTCACTCACTCTAAAATCTTTACTGAAATTAAGAATAAGATCAGATAAGCATGGAAATATATTTTGTGACTGATTAAACTTGTTACAAGATTGAATATTTAATGTGTTGAATAAACAGCACAGAAATTCGTAGCTGTACACACTAAACACATATTGACTGATCTATGTGTCCCAGTGTTGTGAAACCAAACCCTTGTAAGGTCCATTGGTCAATCAGAAAAATGTTCCTTTGTGTAGAGTTTCTTATTCCAGTGGTGGAGCAGTGGGGTAGCCTAGTGCTTAAAGCGTTCACTCGTAACGCTGAAGACCTGCGTTTGATTCCCCACATGGGTACAATGTGTGGAGCCTATTTCTGGTGTCCCTGCCGTGATATTGTTGGGTTATTGCTAAAAGCGGTATTAAACCATACTCACTCACTCACTCTAACTTCTAGCAGAGCTATTTATGTCTCATCACACATAAGAAGGTCTGATGTAATACCAAATGTATCCAGTGTTTGAAATAGTCACTGGCCCGCTAGCCTAGTGACTAGTGAAAATCCAGTCAGGCCAGTATATCTCCACAGTCACTGACCGGACTGGCTAGTAAATTTTCATGGGGTCATTTTGTAACTCTCTCCGACTTGTTAAGTTGTAACACACTTTTAGATCATGTAAGATTAAGTCCTGATAAAAATATTAATCATATTATTAGCTTAATGATGAAACCTGTGTCTACCTTCAAATTTCGGACTAGTGAATTATTTTGTGGACTAGTAACTTTCGGGCATAGCTAGCCCGACTGGCTAACAAAATTTGGAAACCATTTCACACACTGAATGTATCTGCAGAAATCCAATTCTTATTACGGTTAAACTTAAACCTTCAAGTTCCTTTAGAGCATGTTCCACATCTGGTGGATAGATGATAGAGAAAGGAGTCGAGAAATAAAAACAAAATCATGAATATATCTCACGGCTGTTCTGGAATGTTAATGTGATTTATGTTCAGGGAAATGCAGCTCCTGCAAATATCAACATGATTCTGAATTGTGTGTTTTGTCTGCCAGGATTTATTCTCTTATTTATGAGGTGAGGTGAGGTGAAATTGGGTTTAACGTCGTGCTTGAGAATATTTCGCTCATATGACGACGTGCATGCGTGTGTATGTGTATATGCAGCTGCTTGTACTAGCCCAGACTGAAGCTGGTTTTATAGTGCAAGCCCACTGAGATACCATGCCGCAGTGAAGCATGAATATCCCACTCAGACACATTATACTGACTCCAAGCCAACCAGTCCTTGTTGTACCCATGAATGTCAAGAGCCCGGCAGGGACCAACACGTACCATATTTTAACGTCTTTTGGTATGGCACGGTCAGGGATTGAACCTGAGACCTTCCGCTCTCCGGGCGGACACTAACCACTACACCACGGAGGCGGTCTCTGATTTATGAAAGAGGATGGAAAAATGCTGAGAGAAAGAATTAATCCCAGATCAGAGAATGTTATTGTTAATTCCAGTTTTGTCACACATTTGACCTTTCAGTCCTGTGCCTCCGCTTTACATGTAGGGGCAGTAGGGTAGCCTAGTGGTTAAAGCGTTCGTTTGACACACCGAAGACCTAGGTTCAATTCCCCACATGGGTACAATGTGTCAAGCCCATGTCTGGTGTTCCCTGCTTTCATATTGCTGGAATATTGCTAAAAGCGGCATAAAACTAAACACACTCACTCACTTACATGCACCATGCTAGCTCATACTTCACACATGGCTGCTATCCACAAAGCCACATCCAGTATCTTCAAATATCTGCTATCAGAGACAAAGGAAAACTTGTGTCATGCATTATGTGTACATATGAATAATAGTTTGCTGTTTGCTGATGGGGAAGCCAAGTGGTTAAACATTCGCTCATCACACCGAGAACCCGGGTTCAATTTCCCCACATGGGTACAATGTGTGAAACCCGTGTCTGGTTCCATTTCTAATAGAATAATGATAACAATGTATCTGTGTGGCAAGTAGGGGTGGGTATTGCAGAGAATTTTCATATTGCGAAATGTATTGCAGTATATTGCAAGGATTTTTTTTTTACAAAAACTACTTATAATCGAGTTAATGCTTGATTATAAAGCAAAAACACAACAAAATCACTATGATTGATTAACCTTTTATAAAAACTTTTAATCATGACAAAATAAAAATGTAATTAACATTTGGCACTAATGAAACAGGGAAAAGAACAATTAATAAACGGAAATATCCGAAGATTTCCGAGTGTTACGAAGTTTTCCGAATGCATGTCAAAATACCGGTTTTCGATCAGCGTATCGCAATACGTAACGTTTTCATGTCTGAACCGGTAAATACAGGTAAACCGGTTATATTGCGCAGCCCTAGTGGCAAGAGAAAGGATTACCCAACAATATCTTTCATAAACTGTTAATATTGATAATAGAATAATGGTTATAATAAAATATGTCTTTGGAGGAAGATGAATGTTAGCCTGGAAAGGGCTCAATAAATTTATATATTATATAAATATTCCAAAAATCTTTGAACTAAAGTGTATTTGTGTGACTGCATTCTTGGAAAGATTTGAAAAAAAAGAAAAGGTACAAGTACAGAAGTCAAACATATGAGTAAGTGTTTGTAATAAGAATGACATTTGTGATAGTAGTTGATGAAATGCATTTTATTTGGTCTCCTGAGGCTACAGTCACCGTGGGAAGAGAACAAAACCTTCTCTGACATAAATACATGTTGCCATGGTTACAATAAAGGTGGTAATATCCTACACTTAAAATTGATAGTGTCCATTTTGTTTTTACCTGAAACTGACCAATCCACTTTATGCCCAATGAATTTGAAAAATGTTGAGCTACTTTTTACCAAGTCATGTATGAGTTTGTCTGCACATGCCCCAAATCCTTAGAAAATATCATCTCAAAATAGAAGAGTAATCCCAATTGCAAACAGTAAGGGAGAATTATGACCTGGTTTTGTATATTGGAATAAGCTAGTGAGGGTTTCAGAACACATTGCTGTATTTGCCTGTGATGTTGCAGATGAATATAAACAATAAGTGTACACAGTTACAAAACCTTCATTGAATCAGCTGTAATACTGACAGTTGTATCATGCCTGTATTTGTCAGACCATATTCAAATCAAACAACAGCTGTGTTGGAAACAATGTTTAATTATAAATCCAATTTATTTCTGCTGTGTCAGCACATTTTATGATTAGCATTGCAGCTTATGCTGATGTTAAATTACAACAATCTTTATCATGTTTATTGTGCTACTGTCCGTCACAAATACATTGTACTTAAAAATAAGTAACCAGAATAGAAGACTTACAAACTCAGAAGTTATTATTTATTTATTTTGCTCAGACCCGAAGGGGATTTGGCCCCTAAAAGTTTACAAAGAAAGTGTAATCCCAAATATATAAGTTAATATAAATGTTTCATTAAGGTGCTGTAACAAGTCCTTGCTGTTTTGTCCTGTAAATGTTGTAAGGAAACTACTATATTTTATTTGTTGGGTTATGGCAGCTGTGGAAGACTAAGTTTGAAATCTGAAGTTATCAATCTGATTATATTTCAGGATCATTGTTAAATCAAACAATCAGTCAGGTGTATTTCATGATTCAGGCCACATGGTACACAGTATCGTGGAAAGTATATATATTTTTAAAGAATCTACATAAAGATTAGACAATAGAATGTTAAACATTGATAAAACATGAGTTTGATGAATTTGTAAACATATTCATTGTTTCTCATGCTGTTGATCACTGGCTTGTCAGGTCCAGACTTGATAATGTACAGGCTGCTGCCATGAGCGGGAATATAGCTGAGTGAAGCATTAACAGCAAAGAAACAAATCAGTAGCATCCATGAACCATAGTGATAATAATGGGGGGTGGGGTGGGTGTTTAAGTGGGTACAAAATCTTTTTCTTAAGAGTGTATTTTTCTTACAATAATAGACATGGTATTCATCTTCTTACAAATGAAGGTCACAGTGTTTACTGACAGATTCTGTATGAGGTATATTTAACTTGATGTTTTATGCATAATGTTGATCAGCAATATGCCCGCTGTATGGCTGCAGTCTGTAAACAATCGAGTCTGGACCAGATAATCCAATGATCAACAGCATGAGCATCAATCTACGCAATTGGGATACGATGACATGTGTCAACCAAGTCCTGTTCAATCTGATCTGTTCACCCGATCCCTTTGCTCGCTTTTTACGATTGCTGAAGGCCTATTCTAACTCGGACCTTCATGGAGTTACGGATCTCAAGGGTAGAGAGTAAGATGGCTATCTCCCTGACCAGACTGTTCAAATGCCGTAGTCATACTTGGGAGTCAATGAATTACTGCTGAAGGTGGTATATCAAGGATTCAAGATCATTGAGATGTATTGATGAAATTTATTTTGTATTAAATAATTGGTCAGTTATTGTGATATGTGCAACGTCAAAGGTCAGATAATGTGATACTCATGATATTATGTATTATATGATGTTATGCATGTGATATCAAAGCTGAAATAAAATATGATATGCATTTTGTTACTTTGGAGAGTGTGATACAGATGATATCATATGTGAGGTGATCATTTAGCATATCAATGAAGAGTTAAGATAATGTGATCATAGGATCATAGGATCAGAGAGCAGAGGCCAAGTAATGTGATACAAAGTTATAGGTCAGATAATGTGTACATCAAGTGAAATTTCAGATAATGCGATACAGATTGTATAATGTCCAATAATCAGATACACATTGTATTACAGGTCTTGGAATGTGATACACATTGTATCACAGGTCTTGAAATGTGATGCACAGTGTAAAAATGGTCCTATAATATGATAAAGATCGCATCATCACTTTCTGTACTCATCCCATTGTCTATCTTCAGTTGCCCTATCTGAAGCAAGTGACTGAGGGTCACACTGACCTGACTTGCAGAATTTGAAGATAGTCTCCAAAGGTCACAGCGACGTGATGTAACATACTGGCTTCAGCTAGAGATCCAGAGTTTCAACTTATGACAGAATATACTCCAATTTCCCAAATCCCCCCAGCTGTTATGTTTGTTTGATATTTTCCTATTTCTTACATTATCGGACGTGAAATAGTTGTAGCAGCTGTGTTTTACTGTTAAAATTCAAGAAAGATGGTTCAGTATCCCTGATGTTGTGAAACTGAGCAGTTACCAAACACAGATAGATGCTGCTGCTACTTTTTTGTCATATTTAATGTGAAACAAACAAATGTCAAATCAATTCTGGTTGTTTCAGATAAACGTGCCAAGGATTACATCAACTATGGCCCAGTTGGAGTTGTCACCCCCTTCCAGAAGGTCAAGGTTGCTGAACCGCCCGTCAGAATTTACACTCCTGCCAGACACGAAGTCATTCAAAAACCAAATCTGGTTCTTGATCCACCACCGAAACTTCCACAGAATCAGAGTGTTACTATTAATAGAACAGCTCTTTTTACCAAATTAATGAATAAAGGAAATGTTACGTTAACGAAAGATGGCGTGTTCAAAGACTGGATGAACATTGGCAATGTGGGGGCTCACATCCGCAACAAGACTTATGAAATGGGGGCCCGGTTTAAAAATAAGACTTACGAAGTCGCAGAGTCAATGAAAAATAAAACTTTACAACACCTGGCAGTTTTTGGGATGGGTAAAAATCATAATCTTGTGCGATATATATTCGAGCCCCATCGCTGGAACTTAACTGTGTCTTTCGAGGACATTGGAAATATCATGAAAGATACAGAGTTTTTGAACAAGCTCCATCCCCTGGATTTGTCGGCCCCAGTTTTGTCTAGTTCCAAGAACAGGACTGCCAACTATACATACAATATGCCGTTTCATGTGGGTTTCTGTGACTGTTACGAACACCACTGCGTTTGCTGTGCCAGGATAGCCAATAAGAGGCTGCATCTCAACTCAACAACGTGTACTAACTTCACATTTGTTTCTAAATCACAGGTAATTTGAATGACTTATGGTTATTAGCTCTCTGTATTTGTTGTCTGACATAACGATGAGCCAAATTCATGGAAATTACACAGTGGCCTCTATATAATGAAACCGATAATATGCTTGTGTAAAGCCTGTTCTTCAAGCCATGATTTCAGTTAAAACATGAGTCAAGAAGGGATATATCTGGGGATATCAACTGGAAAATTTGGAAACAACTTTAGTGCAAAGTTGTGAATGTTTAGCTCACCTGACTGAGCATTATGTTGCTGCCTGCTTATTCGTCTTTACTTTAACATCTTTCTTTAAGCGTACATCGGCAATAGGGGTAGCCTAGTGGTTAAAGCGTTAAATTCGTCGCCGAAGACCTGGGTTCAATTCCCACATGGGTGCAGTGTGTGTATCCCATTTTAGGTGACCCCGCCATGATATTGCTGGAATATTGCTAAAAGCATCGTAAAACTAAAATTCAGTCACTCACTTCAAGTGAATGTCTATGTCTATGTCTATGTCCAGGTGAGCTTTAGTGGTTTTATGATGTTCTTTCCTCTTTCATCGTTGGCTGTCTCATTGACCTAGCTCTAAAATAATACATTGCCACACACACACCTGCATGTGTGTTATAAGTGCTGTAAACTTGAATCTAACTTTAAACACTTCAACTGGTTTGTCAGCTACAGACTTGTTTCCAGGTCGCCATTCCTGTAATATGGCTAACTGTGGTCTAGAACAACTGTCTGTCAGTTATTTCAGATATTGTTGAAATATTTTCATGTTGGAAAGTAAAGGGTTCACTGAGCATCCTGATCGAAGACTCAGGTTCGATTCCCCACAAGGATACAATGTGTGAAGCCCATTTCTGCAGTGATCTTCTGCAGTGATATTCCTGGAATATTTCTATCAAGCAGCTTGCATCTACTGGCTAAACTTCACACTCAACTCATTCTATCAGCTAGCAACTTGCATCTACTGGCTATATGTATCAACCAGCTGTTTGTATCAACTGACTATTCATATCTACTTGGTATTTGTATCTGCTGGCTTGTCCTATCTACTGGCTACCACTGTGTAAAGCTTCATATATGACTGCCCTGTGGCAGTTTCTAACAGAACTGGTCTGTGTAACCTGTTTCCCAATGAGGCGATGATATGTATCGCTTGATGAACATCAAGCTCAGCTGGTTGACTGTGTGTCATCTTTCACTGACGTTCTTGGATGTTGGTCATCTTACAGATACAGATACTGCAGACTGCTGGCTTATTGCCTGCTGCAGTGTTAAACAACGTATACTTCAGTTGGGCATGGGATAAATTCCTGTTGGGAAATAATGATAAGTTACCATTTGGGGAAACGTGATGCCTAATTCGGGGTTTTGTGTTTGTTGTTGTTGTGTGTGTGTGTGTGTGTGTGTGTGTGTGTGTGTGTTGTGTGTGTGTTTGTGTTTGTGTTTGTGTTTGTGTTTGTGTTTGTGTGTTTGTGTTTGTGTTTGTTAGACTTGAAGGAGATTTCAGGGAAGACAGATTTTTTAATCTTGAAAGGAATATTTGGGAGTAAGCAGGCTTGAATCCAAAAGAGGGTTTTGGAGTAAGTTGGCTTGAATCCAGAAGAGGATTGTGGAGTAGATAGGTTTGAATCCTGATGAGGGTTTTAGAGTGAGCAGGCTTGAGTCCTGTAGGGGTTTTCAGTGAAAATACCCATCAGTGCCAAACACATTTATGGTTGCCAATAGCTATTCATTTAGCTGCATTAACCCACAAACAAACATAATTTTGGTTTTATGTTTCAGGAAATAGTCTTGGAAGTATTATTGGACTCGAAGCCTATTTACAAAAATGTTGTATCAGGTGAGTATAACATTGTTGCTGTGAAGTAATCAGTCACTTTTCTTTAATTATCTTGTATAATTTCTGTAATCAAATATGTTTGATATGAATATTTAGCTGCATAATAAATATACATCTGTTAACACTATGACCGTGAGTATGAGAACTAACTTGACTCATTCGTTGTTTGACAACAGTATCAGCTTATTCTCATAGTTCCTGAACTCTATAATTCTCCCTTCCATCACTATCCTGCTGTAGCCATGTACAGAACAAGTAGAGGTTTTCATAAATGCAGGTTCCAAATCTATCTCCATCCCTCCTACACAATCATCCCCAAAATACACAACCACCACACTTTCTAACAACCACCACACCACTACACTTTTCAACAACCTACTACATGCAACCACCTTCCACCCCTAACAACTACCACACACTCCATCAACCACTACACCTAACAACTACCACACCCACAACAACTCTATCCAACCACCACACCTCAACTAAATAACAACCACACCCTAACAACCACCACACACCCTAACAACCACTACACACCCAACAACCACCACTACACCCCAACAAAGTACACAACCACCACACCTCTAACAACAACCACTACCACCACACCCCAACAACCACCACACCCCAACAACCACCACACCCCAACAACTACCACCACACCACCCAAATAAACAACTACTACACCACTAACACACACCCAATTTCTAAGAACAACCAACAACCACCACACCCCAACAACCACTACACCCCAACAACCAACACACACCTAAACAACCACCACACCCACCCACCCTACAACCACCACACACCTAACAACCACCACACCCCAACAACCACCACACCCCCAACAACCACTACACTCCACCACCACACCCCAACAACCACCACACCCCAACAACCACCACACCAACCCTAACAACCAACCACCACACCAACAACCACCACACCCCAACAACCACCACAACCCCAACAACCCACCACACCCCAACAACCAACCACACACCCACCACCCCAAGCCAACAACCACTCACACACCACCCACCCTAAGCCCAACAACCACCACACACCCAACCACCACCACACCCAACAACCACCACCACCCCCACCCACCCCAAGCCAACCACCACCACACCCCAACCACCAACCACACCCCAACACCCACCCCACCCCAACAACCACCACCCAACAACCACCACACCCCCACCCACCCCCCCAAGCCCAACAACCACCACACCCCAACCCAACCACACACCCCAACAACCACCACACACCCCACCAACCACCCCCCACCAAGCCCAGCAACCACCACACCCCTGAGTTGGTTCCTTCAACTATGTATATTGTAATGAAGCAGTAGAAGTCTAATAGATCGTTGCTGTGAAAGTCAATGTTAGCTAGTTCAGTGTTCTGCTTGGATGCCCATCATGTATCATGTCTGATTACATCAATGCTTCAGGTCGTAGTAATGCGTGGCTATTCAGATATATTCACCATCTCATTATTATACTCATTATTATACTCATTATTATACTCATTATTATACTCATTATTCGGGAGATAAGGCTAGGAAGTGCAGAAGAGGATTGAAGTTCGAAAAACTCTGAAGTGAAAACACAGCTGCTTCATCTCCATTCTACCATGACTCAATTACAAACATGCAAACTTTGATTATGTTGGAAATGATAAATTATATGGTTCTGATGTTTCAAAGAGGATGAAAAGCATGAATTCAGGGATCACTAAATTAATCACTTTAATTAAAAACAGTACTAACATTTTGGTTTGGCCAACGGCCACCATTGAAACTATGGATTGTTATGTGTTCTGTCGACAATTCCCATTGATATGGTACATTTGTAGTGCAAAGAAGTGTAATAAGTTGTTTTATTACACACGTTCTGGGTATCTTTATGAGATAATTTTGGTTATTTGAAACCGGTTGAAAGTTATCCAACGTGTGCTGTGTAACCAAACTGGATTATTCACGGATATTGACATCGTAATGCCGAACTTTCTGTTGCCACTTCAATGTTTTAAATTAACAATATAACTCCATTCAAGCAGTTTTGACCAAAAATGTCAACCAAACAAAACATTTGGTTTGTGGATAAATAAGAATTCAATTTCGTGTCCAGGGATTAGTATTATTTTTCTTATCCTGACTCATGCTTATTTACCCCATGAAGGATAAGTATAAAAATATTAATTTTACTCTAAAAAATTTCATATTTTTAAATGTATTTCAATTCAATTTTAATTGTTATTTTCATCTATAAAGTAGTCATGACAGAGTTGTCTCCTTTTCATTTTGATTTCATCCGTCATCGTCTGCTTGATTTTTCATAATGGATCACACTGTTTTCCTGTCCTATGTGTAATAAGTAGATCACAAAACTCTTGGATGTTGAATATATTCATGTTGGAATATTTCTCATATTCAACACCCACTTGTTTTGTAATAACTGTGTATCATTAAACTCCTATTATTTTCACATGTTAGTAATTATGCATTGATGTTTTTGTTGCAGCTGAGTTACCTCCCCTGGTGTGTTTGGGGACGTATCCGAAGGTCGTGGACATCTGCATACACTTCTTCAATATGACATTCAAAGTGAACTTCCATCATGAACATAAGACACAGCTGTTAGGCTGCACAGACTTTAGCCTCAATCTTTATAATAAGACTATTGGGTCCTTCCCCGTGGACTGTTTCCAGATTCCGGGAGATCCAAACCACAAACACAAGGACAGCTTGAATCTCTTCAACTTCCCCAACTGGATGCCTTAGTTGCCATAGTTACAATAGCTGCCAATGTCATACATACCGTCTTAGATATATATTATGTGGTTAAAGGTAGCCATTGTGTGCTTATTACAAGTGCTGGTTAATACCAAAACTTGGGTTATTACAAATTTTGGATTTTATACTTTTTCAAAGATTAGTCCTGAAGACTAGTTAAAAGTTTCTTTCACTGTTCAAGTTTGTTCAAATTCTTGCCCAAACGATACATAAAATACTGTTTTAGGAGAAATATGTTCAATCAAAGTATTATAGTTGTTGTTACAACTGGTTGTGTGTGACAGTTTGGTCACATGTTAATTTAGGTCTTCCAGTCTTTGGGTATCGCTCAATGGCTTTCTTTAAGACACTATTCCACAAAGCTTTAAGAAGGTGCTAGTCCATCAAGATTAAATCCATGCAAGTATAAATCAAGTCATTTGAACTCAACTTCGATTATCTGAAATCACATGTTTTTATCAGTGTCCATATCTAATTGCCTCAATACCGTGTATTTTTGTTGAACTTTTAGTGGAATTTTTTCAGGTCAGTTGACCATTTTGAAATGATATACCGATGTTCTATTGGAATTTTGACACACTTAGCAAAACATTTTTACGTTTCTTCAGGAGAGTTAACAAGATAAGAAATTAAAAGCACTGGGTAAATTGCATGATATTAATTATTTACTTCACAGTTATGTGTGTGGTGGTAAGATGGCATTTCAGTGGAATGTCATTGTTTATTTTATGCTTCTTAAATTTTCATGTTCTTAAGTTTGAATCTGAAAGAATCTCACGTTTGTTCAACTGAACAGCCTGATTGGATGAAAGTGGGAAGCAGGGCCGCAGCGACTAGATGTGGTGAAGTAGTCGTGATACTCTTTCGTGGGTCGGCCCAAGGGTCCTTGTACAATAAAGTGAATGTTTGTGTTGTGTTTTAAGCAGTATATGTAAATGGCAGCTTAAAAGAGCCAAGTAGTTTCAATAGCAAGTTTTGAAAATCTTCGAATAAATATGAAGTCATTAATATCTTTAACCTTAGTATGTAGTACATATAGGGCAAATCTGATAAACATATGATAACTATGCAAATGAATAAGATAATATCTACTTTGGAAAATTTCCTTTTTTTCCTAGATGAATGCCAACAATTGATTCAGGTTTGGCTAAATTGATGGGTTTTATGATTTACATATGAATTATCCATCAGTGACTGGTAGACAGCTGTTGGTAATGTGAGACAACGTGTTGTGTATGTCAGTGTTATACACTGAGTAATGTACAATGCTAAGGCTGCAGTAGACTAACAGAGATTATCGTGCACATTTTTCTCAAAAGTGGGGAGGGAGGTAGCAGGGATTTACAGGATGCTAATTCCTGCGTCCTATATGCATAAAAATTGACAATGGATGCAACAAAATTGATTAGCACGCGTACACACAGACTCAGAAAAAGTCCAAATACTTTTTGTAAAAATTCCAATCAAGTTATCACTGAGTTTGCTACTAGCTGGGTTATGGTATTATTTGTGATTTAATTACTGTAACAATGTGATGATCATGATACACAATACAATAACAGTATTAATAATAATATTTACGTGTCCCATTTTGTTGTCCAGGACCCCTGAAAATTAAGAGTATGAGTCCCAGGGACCCTCAAATACAGGACTCCTTGTAAATCCCTGAGGTAGTGTTTAAAACAATGAGGAGTAATAATCAATACCATTGGCCAGTCTGTCATTGTGTCCAACCAATCACCATTTCCTTTTCATAGGATACTGGGACTTGTTCTGCTGTGGGACATTCCAGCATAGTATGGAAAGTATCAGAAAAACTACTTCAGGCTGAGATAAAGAGCCAGCTTTAGTAGATGTTTGGGTTATGTGTTGAACCATTTATAACTCAAGAATGTACCCTGTACATACATGTTTCTTATACAATAGTGCCACTTGAGGTGTACGTATAGGAGATCTTCACCATGGCCCGGGTGGTAGATGTGTGAGCCTTGAGAGGAAATAATATGTTTGGGCAATTTTTGAGACTTGAGTACTTGATTGTTAGTACTAATTTGGGATAAAGTAGAAAATTGTACTGTTATGACTCTCATCCTGTATTTTCTCCAAAATAGTTGTGTGGAAGATTGTATTTATTTACAATAATGTTATCATCTTTGAAGGATTAAGTAGGTCTAATATTTTATCAGAGATAGTTTACTTCAAGAAAAGTTGCACAAACTTGATTCAATGGACTGTATAAGAGTAAGCCCAGTTGTCTAAGCTGCCATGACCCTGTGCAGTCCCTGAAGAGTCCTGGTTTGAATCCTGGTGTACTCTGCTGGTTTTGCATGTTTGGTTTGTCAGCACTGTGTGTTTGGGTTTTTGTGGTCAACGTCCGAGACCAGCATCGCTTGAAGCTCTACTCCAACACGATAAACTGTAATATTGTTAAACATATTCACTAACTCACTGAATCGTGTAGATGTGTGAGTGAGTGGGTTGGGTTTTATGCCGCTTTTAGCAATATTCTAAAAATATCAGACCGGGAGACACCAGAAATGGACTTCACACATTGTACCCATGTTGGGAATCAAACAGGGTCTTCAGCATGACGACCAAACGCTTTAACCACTAGGCTACCCCACCGCCACTGTGTAGATGAGGTTACATGAGCGTGACCTAGTGTACAAGTTGGTTTATTGTTGTAATGTGTCCATATGTACATAGTTATCTCATCTGTTCGTCTCCACTTGATGATGGGGTCTCATTTTAATGTGTGTAAATAGGATTATAACAAGCTGGCCAGCATTGTAGGAGTGTTAGAACAGGTGGACAGTTATCTCCAGTTAAATATGATTTTTTAATCAACATGTTATCCTTGTACATATCCAGAGTTTTTGATGTTCCAATCTCAGTATGACTGAGTTCAGATTTGTATAATTAACTATTGGTGTAAGTTTGGTTTGTTATGTATATTAACTTGTGTTTGTCCTGTAAACTTTAGACACGGTTGTCATAATTCTCTGATATTTGAAACAGATGTAATTTTAAAGATACAGTATGTGATATTCCCAGCCATGTATCAACATGTAGTTAAATTTTGTGTCCAAAATTTAAAATATTATATGCACAAAGTTTTACAGTAACTTGGTCTGACCACAATGCGAAATATTTAAAGAGTCTCAAATGTTGAAATATCTGTGCATCAAACACTGAATAACAACCACAAATACATAATGTACAATAACATAAAAATATCCTTTTAGTATTTTATAATATTTTTGTGTAGTTCCCTCTTTTTATGTAATTTCACACTACTACAAGACAGACATAGTGTCACTTCGAATGGAGTGATATTTGCAGTGACATGTTTCCATGGCAACTGAATCAGGTTAGCAGCTATTAAAGAAAATTAAATCAAAGGGGTTATGAGAAATCCGGTTTATCTGATTTAGGATTGGGCAACAAAATATAAATACCGTCATTATCAATGTCAAACAGATATCTTTGTTTCAAATACTAATAGCAGCCTTGCTCACTTTAGTTAACAATTAGATATTGCGATTCATAACGTATCACATTGTCAAAACTGCACAAGTTGGCATACACAATGTTTCCACATCTCCCATGAATACATATATCAGTATCAGTTTTTGTGAAGTTGCTATTTTTCAAACTCAAATCAAACTAAGGTATGGAGAAACAGGCATTCAGACTCATGAGGCAATGTTTCTCATGGAGCAGCTTATCGCCATCTACTCACTGCCTCAGTTTGATGCATCATTACAGTTCCCCTAAATTCTATTCACGGAGTTCAACTCTATTAAATTCTGAGATATATAAACGTTGTGTGAGATAAGGAAAACCTTTGTGGATGAACAACTTCTTTATCAGGTGATGCTATGTTTTGATACAACGACACAAGAATCTGTATGGAAATGTTGCACCACCTGAGTAACGAAGTTGTTCATCCACAAAGTTTGTCCTTATCTGACTCTCCAATCAGAAAACAACATTTATGTGTGAGGTAAGATAAATGGTACTGAAATGTGTGTGTATTATGACACCCCTAGTATAGGTTGGACAGTAGCACACTGGGTAGTGTGCTCGACTGACCCCCTCGAGGTTCAAGTTTGTTTCTGTATTAACTTTGTGAAAGAGGCTACTGATGTTGTTTTACCATCTTTGTGCTGTGATATAAATACATAAATAAGGCCATAACAAATTAGTAAGTTCTTTGTTGGAATTGTACCTCATTTTCTGAAAGGAAATATCAGGTGATTTCAAAATACAATTTTATACAAATGTAACTGTTAAAGATCTATGTACTTCAGCTGATCCTTGGCACTAAGCTTCCAACTGATATACTGTAGTGTTGACAGAAACCGCTATGTCAGTGGTTGACTGATCAAACAAAACACCCACCGTGGTATATGTAGTTAGACTACTTCCCTGTCAACTATCTCAATATGTGCATGTCTGGTCTTGACTTGATCACCTCCAGGGTGCGTGAGAGTAGTGTCTGTTTTCTCTAGGCTACAGATTCAGACAATTTCAGTTTCTTCGTAGTCCAGAAGACTTTAAACTTTATTTCATTAGTTGTGCTAAAATGAGGCACATATGTTTACATTTTCTGTACGTTTTATACAATTCCAATATGTGGCAGTGTTGAAGCATTGAGAACTCATTCAGAATGAAAGGGATAATTGCTTCTCCTCAATACTGTGTAAATATTCGTTATTCATTTAGAAAACAATTAGTGTACGGTAGGTAGCGTGAGATGTATGAACTTTGTGAAAATACTGAATTTCAGTTTGACAGAATTTTTTTCATTTGGACATTGTCTACAGGATATTTGGTGTGAGACCTTCTTCAGTTTGTCCTAAATATTCAATATGGTTGGGGGCATTGCAGGACTCAGAATGTGTTGGATTGCTTTATTTCTCTATTTGTTTGGTGGTGATGATGTCTTTTCTGTTTTAGTTTTTAGTTTTTTCTCAGTATGTCAGGTTGGTTTTGATGAAACCAAAGATGTAACATCCCACCTAAACTCCTTGCCATTTAGTCAAATATCAGTATTCTTGGTTGAGTATCTCAAAATCAAAATGGAAGTTTGAGGGAGGGTAAGGGCCCTTTTTGTGAAAGTGGACATGTGAGTTCTTGAAGAATATATAAACAAACATTTTGAAATGATTGTATTAACATTGGCAGATGTACAAATGTTTTACAAATAGCTCATGAATAATTTTAGCTTTATTAGAACGGCTAAAATGAGTGAAAAAGGTTGAAAAAGTAAGCACTCAAATGAAATGATGTCTTCTAGTTCTCGTTCTAGAAAACATCTGGTAGCTTTCATTACAGAGTCGAAAAGTTCATCTGATTTCTTCAGTTTTGCAAAAAACAAGAGACCCATTCCAACCTTGACCCTTGTACTTTACTTATCCCCATTTGTTTTCATAAGACTGACTGACTGAGTTTGGTTTTACGCCGCTTTTAGCAATATTCCAGCAACATCACGGCGGGGGACACCAGAAATGGGCTTCACACATTGTACCCATGTGGGGAATCGAACCCGGGTCTTCGCCGTGACAAGCCAACGCTTTAACCATTAGGCTACCCCACCGCCTCGTTTTCATATGAAGTGAGAATAAACCTTAAAGTCACTGGTGTGAGAAGTGTTGATGTGATAAGTTGATGTGTTGTGTATCTCAAGCGATAGACTGTGGAGCCTACAGTAGAATCATCTTCATTAAAATTAGCAGCCAAAGATTATTCTAACTGTGATACAGTTATGTCAAAAGTTGGTATCCCATTATAAACAAATACACCTAGAACAGGGATTATATTGCTGTGAGAAAACTTACGTTAAAATATTATTTTATTTTAGGGGTCAGTGTTAGTGATAACGTTCCACCCCAGCCCAGAGGGCTGGATGTTTACAATGTTTACAATGTGAATAAACAACATCTGCTGAAGTGTTAGTGATAACGTTCCACCCCAGCCCAGAGGGCGGATGTTTACAATGTTTACAATGTGAATAAACAACATCTGCTGAAGTGTTAGTGATAACGTTCCACCCCAGCCCAGAGGGCGGATGTTTACAATGTTTACGATGTGAATAAACTACATCTGCTGAAGTGACATGGTAACTGACATCATTGTCAAAGTTTGACACCTTAGAAATATTCAGATTCAATTATTAAGTCTTCATATTTATGTTTTATGTGTAATTTTGAAAGACACTAAATCCCACCTGCTCAATTCCAAGATGGCAACTTGCTGTGTACTTCCACGGGTTTAGGAGTACAAGGAGTGACGCTGAAAATATGGCACTTGGCACAGCGTTGAGATATACAGATGATGTGATGAGAGGTGTCTGCTGTGTGCTGTGTGCCTGTGTGTGCGTGTGTGCCTGTGCCTGTGTG